ACATATTTCTCCCCCAAACGAGCGTTGGTGTCGAGAGTCCTCGTCGGCAAACTCCCTACTTACGACGCTTCAGCCGGCTTATGAGATTGGCGCCGGCTCTGAGATTGGCGCCAGCTCTGGGATTGCTCGAGGCAAACTCTTAAAGCACAGCTTTCAGAGATACCGCATGTTTATTGTGCTAACAGGCGAGACTGTAACAAAACCAAACCAATACCTGACTACGAGACTGTTTTGGCTTCGAAAGCTGTAGCGGATGGCGCGGATCTGATGGATGGCGCGGATAGCGGATCTGCTTGTCTTCCGCGTTGAGCGGCCATTTGGTGCTTTTTCGGTCGGTGGGTCTTTTTCTGCGACACCCACTGTAGCTTCCTACACCACTCGAATACCTCTCTGTAATCTCTCCTTTCTCCCGCCCCGGCCCCACAGCTCGGCTTCCCACCGGCCGCGTGCCAGCCTCCTCACCTGAGCGTGGCAGGGTGCGGGCGCGGTAGGTGGCGGTGCGGTTCCAGCCGAGCCCGACAGATGTCACTGCCAGCTGGTACTCGGCGTCGGGCGGCAGGCCGGTCAATGTCACGCGGCGGGCTGACGTATGGATCGTGCGCACTGCCGGACGGTGGACATCGCCCGTGAGCCGGGCGACTACCGAGCTCCATTGGGTCGGGCGTGACCGATCAGAGCCATCCAGGCGCAAAATATATACAGAGCACCCATGTCTGCCCGGACAGCCACCGGCGGGTAAGACCTACGCCGACCGCGCGGGGCGCTAGCCGCCGCGTCACTTCGACATTGGCCAACCAATCAAAAGACGGGTGGACAGCCTTCAGAACCTGACGAGACCCCACCGTCTACTTGATTAGCCCAACATCCAATATGACTTGCCTTTCTTCCAATCATCGAGCCTGCAGTAGGACACGATAAACCCCTCCAGGGTGCACTCCGTCTTCCAGGGGTCGAAGCTGAGCTGGATAGACGTTTGATTGACCTTGATGACTCCGGATGGTTCGGGTGATCGACCCAGGTAGCCCCGCGTGGCCTGCTCCAAAGTGCTGTGGTGGCCACTCGAACCAAGACGGTTCGTCGCTGAAAGGTGGGACACCACTTCAGCTGGGTCACCCAGTGTGCGTTTTTACTTCATGGATGGAACAGCGCATCACCTCATCCAACAGCTGCATGATTACTGTCCCTGGCCAGTTGTTGCAGAGAATGGATCCGGCAATACACATAGTTAAGCGTTGCAAGAAAAAGATCCGGCAATAAACGTAGCTAATCTAGCATTCATGCTACATGGTTGGGAGAGGATCGGGCATGGGGATCCTAAAAAAAACATATACGAGCGCTGGAACGTGGACCTTGCTAATAAGCAAAGCGCAAACCGCCGATCAGAGGCGGGCAATAATTCCACAATCGACCATCGATGTCATAAAAATCCAGTCCCCACGGAATACCACGTGCCGCTTGAGCAGGCGTGGTCCCACCAGCAGTGTGGTATGCATCAATAACAGTTTCCCCTGCCCTCTCTCCAGGCCGGGTCTGGTGCGGGTCGTCAAGCCCCACCTTCCACAACCAGCCGGTAGAGGGTGCCGCAGACGAGGCCGGTCAGCTCGAGCTCAGTGGCTCCGGCGGCCACCTCGCGGCTGCTCCAGCTGGCCGGACTGGCCGCCGCCGCCGCCGCCGGCGCGTACCGCACCCGGTACGAGGTGACCGGCAGCCGGCCAGGTGCGCCCGGCGTCCACGCCAGCCGCACGCTGCTGTTGGTCACGTGCCGGACGTAAGGCACCGGCGCCGACGGTGGGCCTGCCGGCAGACGGCGCTCAGGTCGGCTCGACTCGGGCGCTCGCGGTGCTGGGCGTGATGCGTAGGCGGGCCGGCCGTCATTGGCGGTCCAGTCGCTTCCAGGCGGATGGTGGGGGTGAGGAGCATGAAACCGGCCAGGACAGTGGACCTGAGCTTTCATCTTCGGTCGATGGTCAGGCGCGCCAAGCAAGGAGTGACCTCTAGAATCGGCGGAAGACGACGACAAGTTTGTGCTTGTGCTTTGGAGTCGGGGTCGACACCAGCATTAACACAAGTTTCGTTGATTCAGGGTAAAATCGATTTGAAATTAAATATTTAAACTAGCTGCAACTGAAGCTGAGTCCAAAGTGTAGGATGCAATCAACGGTGAGTCCTGTTTGGATAGAACGCGCCTGACGGCACTTGTGATTATTTTACTGAGATCCATTAAACACTTAATCTAACTCGCTGTTGGCAATACAATAAACAACATCAAAGCCTATTAAACCACGTCTCCCGGAATCAGACTCGAGCCAGAACAGTGTTTTCTCGCCTACAAAATCCTGCCAAGCACCATGCAACGTTAGAGCTCGCGGCCGTCCGCTGGAGCTGAGCCAGCCACAAGCCTGGATGGCGGCCGTGTGCTCAGACGTCAGGCCAGCCCACCGCCCGGGTCGCCGGGCTGGAGGCACTGCACTAGAGCAGACAGCAGACCTGGGGCCACGAGACTAATCAGCCCCGGCGACAGGTCGGTGGAGCTGAACCGGAACAGACGACAAGCCCGCCGGTCAAAACATGTCAATAGTTAGATTAGGCCAGGCAAGTTTGCAACAGCAGACGAACATCCTGCACTCCCATCGAGCATACAACAGCATGCAGGCCGGGACACCATGTCAGCAAATTGAAAGCGCAGCGAAGGTCAAAGGCACATTGGGTCCACTGAAGCGCTCTTTAGAGGCCAGGTCGCTCGTGGCGTCTGGAAAAGTTCATTACTTCGGGTTTGGTCTCAAGAAAGCTTACCCTGAAAGGTTATAGCCCATGACGCAGCTTCATAAAACGGAGTCTTCCAAATATTGAACAGCGCTGTTTACATTTCAGAGCACCGCCGCCAAATCTTCCCTACCACAGGCCTGCCTTCCTGGCTGCTGAGCTACGTCCATTGTTTAATCATACCGAACTTCCCCACCCCCACCCCCCCAAAAAAAAATATTGCTCAGGAAACTCATCAAGCCAACCTCGTTTTGAGTCGTTGCTTTAAGTCATCCGCTATATCATTCACATTACTTTAATTATACCCTGGAGACGGACGCACAGCTTGATTGTGGTTAAAGACACACATTTTGAGGCAGCCCTTCCTTACAATGGGTGGCTTTATCTCTAGATAAAGACTCACAGCCATCCAAAAGAGAATGACTCACTACTTGCTTCTGTTGAGCCACAAGTGCTACAGATTCCGTGAAACCTGCTGGCCGGAAGAATGACAATACCATTCACCGAAGCCGCCCACAGTGTGTTCCACGTGCATCCCTAGAATAGATGTGTAAAGCAGAAAGTCAGTCGGAAGTCATCTTCGTTGGGCGCCGCACTGCCCTTCATTCTGCTTGCGAGTACAGATGAGCAAAACAGCTAGAGAGTTCAATCAGTTTTAGCTCTTCTCTGATTCAGTTCATAGTCATAGTTCAAGTCAAGAAGTTGTTCGTACATCGACCCAAGATATACGGCCAGCTGACGTCACCACTGCATTAACTAATGGAAACTTGGACGCCAGTAGCGTCCACATACAGCATACAGATATTGTCAGACGCAAGACTCTTTTGAGCTTCGTCCGAGATACGAGCCAGAGTGAATTTTTCCAGCGGCGACAGCCAAGACGTTTTATAAGCCAGCAGGTTCCGTGTAGTGGACGCCCATGTCTATTTAGGCGGGACATATTACGTCCGAATGTAACAGCTGTGAAGACGGACGCAATCGAAAAACGGCTGGTTAATCCATCATTACCAACCAATTGCCATTGTGAGGTCATTGTGTCATGTGGGGCCACAGGACAAGCGTCTGAACTGAAGGCCGGTGGGCCGGCCGCTAGTGGTGCCGCAACGAAGCCAGCGTATTCTGTGACAGGTCCACGCGAATCAAGAGGTACGGGGCGGGACACTGTGTGATGCCTTGAAAGGTTAACACAAAACACGCATGCTGTGATGTTGCACACAGACCACGTGCGACAGCGTGGCTTTCCGTGACTGCCGTTTGTCGTCAGCAGCAGGAGTTGGTACCACCGAACACGCAAATAATGGCATAGTGAACCGAATTTCAGCACGAGAAATGCGCGTTCACAGACTTCAGCAGCAGATGCATGGCCAAAATGTTTCAGGGTCTCAGCCCAAGGCTGAAAGCGTCTTCACTCAGTGTGTGCTGCTCGCAGTCTTCTGAAATATGCACAGGGTGCGAAACAAAGTCATCAAGGACAAAGTAATCATCTTGGTGTCACTTGTCTTAGTGCTGACTAGATTTAAAGTTCTACATTTTTGTCTGACGATACAGACGCGGTACGTGATATTTTTCAAGAAGTTGATTGCATCTTAAAGCAATCAAGCCTATCTGTCATGCGTCATGCCCCATCCAACTTTGCCGTGTCGCTTGTAAAAGGCCAAGTGATGCAGTATGATCGATGTAAGATCCATGGTGATGTATGCGCATGGGGCACGTCTCCATCGCAGTTCAATGCTTCATCGTGAGTTTTCCTCTAAGCGCTTCGATGACGGACTACTGCAGCAGGTTCGGAGAAGAAATAGCAAGGTTTGTTGTTAACACCGCAACATAGGAGACATATGCACTGTTACCCCATCACAAACAACATCGAAGCATGAATGGCGTGCTAAAACGATCACGTGCGCGCAGGCAAACTGTCACAAAAGAATATCCAAACACCCGAAAGTATTTGAATTCGTTCGGGAAATTCATGTGACACCGTTCACTTCAAAACACTATGCCGCCCCTCCAATCGAGAGCAATGTTACGCCTCAGGCGAAAAGCACCCCACCAGGGCCGGCGCGCGCACTCACTGATCACCACCACGTCGTACGTGATGTTGTCCCTGCCGTGGCGATTGGTGACGTCACACGTGTACACGCCGTCGTCCTCGGCCGTCACCGAGCTGATGACCAGCGAGCCGTTCTGCATCTGCCGCAGCCTGCGCACGGCCGGCACTGGTGACTATCGCAGCGCAGCCATCAAAACGGCCCGGCAGCGTCCAAACGCCTGACAGCTGACGGCGGAGGCGGGGACACGTGCCCTGCTGAGGGCGGAGCCCAGAATGAAGTGGAATTACCCGCGGAACAGATCCATTCTGACTCGCAGCTGCCCGTAGATGCCGTTACAGGTTTTACGAGTGTGGTATCAGCGGAGATGTCCGCTGATCGGCAGTTGGGAGCGACTGGTCCGAGATATACGCTCCGAGGCAGCTCATTTTTTTCGGAGTCGTGATCGAAAATCTCGACTATCTTTTCCAAGCATATGGTTAAGTATCAAACTATATGGTGTGGAAATCAGGCGACACTTATCATGCACTCTTATCCGATGGCCACCAACTGTAATGTGAAAATACACTGATGTGAAATGTAATGTGAAAAAACAATGATACACTTTAAGTCTTCGTAACATCATTCAATGCGTTCAATACTTGCAGTAATATGCGGAAAAAAATACTGGGTACTGCAGGCCACGGACCGAAAGATGTGTGTGAAAATGTATAACTCATGATAACAAGATAATGTGTGACTGATCTGTTCCACTCATATTTCAAAGACACCACCAAGACCATGGGTAGGGGCCATCAAACTATTCTTAAATGTGCAAGCCATATCAAAACAGCATTTCGTCCAGGCAGCATTTGTGCAAAGCTTTTGGCCATTTATCTACACATACTAACAACCACAAACTGGAGAATTATCTGAGCTTCCCGCGGCCCCTCATGAACCGACACCGCATCCTCCAGAGGCAGGCCGCCCTCACTCAGCCGTTAGACCTTCCCACCCGCCAGTCCCCCGCCCGTACGGGCGTCAGCGGCCGCCGGCTCACCGGTCGGACGTGGGGAGCGGGTCGCCGCTGCGCAGCCAGGTGATGGTCGGCGGCGGCAGACCCAGGTGGCGACAGGGCAGCGTCAGCCAGCGCCGCCACGGCGTCACCAGCCGCTCGCCGAACGAGACGACGGCCGCCGGCACGGCCGCCGTCGGCGCCGTGCGCAGGTACGGGCTGGCCGGGCCGGCGCCGCGGGCCGTCTCGGCGCGCACCCAGGCCAGGTAGCGGTCGGCTGGCACGCCCGAGAAGCTCGTCTGGCCGGCCGGCACGCGGTGCGAGAGCGTCTCGTTCGACGACAGCAGCCTGCAGAGGCAGCACGGAGGTCGTCAGAGGACCGGCCGGAACGCGGCGGGGACAGGGCTCGGCTCGAATGGGCCGGGTAGTGAGTGCATGTGATCCTTGCATGTTGACAGTCAGGGGGCGGGGTTAAAACACGACTTGATGATGAAAGGGCGATGTATGGTCAGCAAGCAGGGATGGAGAGCCACTCCTGTTAAAGCAGAAGGCAGAGGGGGGAGGGGGGTATCAAAGAGCGGGACGGGAGCGCATTCCGGTGATGAACAGCTGTCTCCGCAGATGAAGCATCAACAACACGCAACGTCCATGTCATGCCGGAGATCAGCGCCGACATCTCCAGGTCTACGCGCATGCTATTGTAGATCAGTTGCAACAATCTCCATTAATCGCAATGGCTAGAGCCACCCCGACAGCTGTCGACGTCGCCGGATGCGGTTTGAGCTTTACACCGGGTCAGTACGTCTGCGTGTGTATTGTGAAGTGCCGGTGGGCGCTGGCCGTGTCAATTGTGACGCGCCGGTGGGCGCTGGCCGTGTCAATTGTGACGCGCCGGCGGGCGCTGGCCGTGTCAATTGTGACGCGCCGGTGGGCGCTGGCCGTGTCAGAGTCCGGGCGGCTCGGGGCCGGGCCAGGGGTCAGACGCGTCCCGCCGCCGGCCGGGTCCCCAGGGTCTGCTCGGCGGCACCGGCCCGCACGACACGGCTTTAAAGAAGGTCATTGGCCCGCCGGCGCGGATCGTGTGTCTTCGTTAAGGCTGATCAGCTGACAGCTCCCAGGAGGCTCAGTGCGACAGGACGCGCCCCTCTGCCCGCGGTCAGGCGTCGAGCTGGGCATCAGACTCTGCCACACGCGGCCGGTGATCCCACCGGTGACCTCAAGGCTGACCCCACGGGTGACCGGCGGAGCAGCACCGTCACTGAGATGTGGTGTCACAAAAGGTTCAGCTCAACCACAGTCCAGTTGTTGGCTAGTTGGTGAACATTTTCACTAAATGGGACACAAATGGACCAAATCGATGGCGTGGATTTTCACAGTGGTGATGACGTTTGCGAGCTATTCATAAATGAAATTCGAACGGTGGATCAGACAGAATCAAGCTGCAGGTTTTTCCACCATTTTTCCCACACTGAAGAAAGTCGGGTCCCGACAAAGCTCGATAACGCTGACCACGAACTGAAGAATGTGTTTGAGTCAAAGCTCATTTTTTTCACGCACTGGAACAATACGCGGGGATCAGGTTGCAAATGAGCCAAACAAAACTTGAATGTGCAAAGCGATTGCCCCCTCCTATAAGTTCAACAGACATGTAACATGTAATCCTACATAAGGCCCCGCCGAGAGCATTCACAGCTGTCCCCTGCTGAACTGCTCTGCAGCTGTTCGAACTCACAGGCGTATGAAACGTTCGCGCGCTTTTCTCGTCACGGTCTCTGTAATTTGCCCTTCCTTCGTCACTACCACTGTCGTGTGCCCCATCTTGTCGGTGTGTCCTGCATCAAACGGGGCATCATCTCCGGTGGATAGGTAGTCACGTGTTGGGGTAGGGTCCCGCGTCAGCAGTTCGGTCGAGAAACAACACCGTTCCGCCTCCGCCCGCCTCCATTCAATGGTGGTCCACCCCGCCGTGAACCGCCGTTCGTCTGCGCGGGCATGGGCCCATGACGGCGGGCGAGCGCTCTGTCGTTACTAGGCTGTAGCTGAACTGCAGCTGCAACTGCAAGTCGATTTGAATACGTTTTGGTTGGTTCTGTGCGTTTCTTTTTTGTTAGCAGATGTGGCAAAAATTGTTTGATCGGATCTTTCAGTTTTGACGCTATTAAAACAAAAAAAAAATGGATACAACACATCAAGGCCATAAGCTACCAGACCCCCAGACCCCTTTCCAGCGTTTGGGCTGCAGAAAAGGTTCCGACTGAGTACAGAGCGGACAAAATATGTACACTAGCTTAGAACGGGCCGAAAAATAACGTAATTTCACGCTACCAAACTCCTAGCAAACCACTGAAGATTTAAACAGAAACAAAGGTGAGCTGTGTTTTTTCGTTTTCTCAAGTATGACAAGTGCGGACATCACAGTGTCGTTTTATTCGAAAGCTAGTGGTGGCGACGAGTGGTTTGGGTAGACTGGGACGGTGTCATGTCACTTCATATGCTGCACTACACTGAACAGCAGCCGAGCCACTGAAAAAGCAAGGACGGGAATATAAATAACCAGGTCAAAGCCGAATTGGCAGTGCTTCACGCCACCCTCATTCCATTGCATCTTAAAATGTCGTACAATTTCGTCTGCATGGTATCAGGCCCAACAGGAAATGGCACGAAGCCTTTTTTATTGTTATCACCACATCAAGCACATCGAACACTTCTGGACGTGTTACAAGGCACAGGGCATCGCTTCGTAGCACGTTCCACACGGCATGCCAGGGGCAGATACATCCGACTATGAATACGCTTAACAACGACCATCCGACAGCAAATAATACCAATTACCTCACTCATACAGAGATCGCTGCATACGGAGAGACAGAGGGACAGTTCCACATTTCTAAAAATGGCGTTAGTGCCGCGGCCAGCTAGTGGTGGCGCGGTTGGGTACTTACATGCGATGGAGGCTTCTCAGAACCTTTTCTCCGGAGCAGCGGGCCCTATAATTGGGTGCGATTGGACGCGCGGAAGCCGTCTGGAGCGGCCGCGGGGTGCGCTCCTCACCTCAGAAGGAGGCTGGCCGGGCACGCGGCCACGCGGGGGCCGTCTGGGGCGGCCGCGGGGTGCGCTCCTCACCTCAGACGGAGACTGGCCGGGCACGCCGCCGCGCGGAGGCCGTATGGGGCGGCCGCAAGGTCCGCTCCTCATCTCAGGCAGAGACTGGCCAAGTACGCGGCCGCGCGGAGGCCGTGCGGGGCGGCCGCGGGGTGCACCCCTCACCTCAGAGACTGGCCGAGTACGCGGCCGCGCGGAGGCCGTGTGGGGCGGCCGCGGAGTGCGCTCCTCACCTCAAACAGAGACTGGCCGAGTACGCGGCCGCGCGGAGGCCGTGTGGGGCGGCCGCGGGGTGCGCTGCTCACCTCAGACGGAGACTGGCCGAGTACGCGGCCGCGCGGAGGCCGTGTGGGGCGGCCGCGGGGTGCGCTGCTCACCTCAAACGGAGACTGGCCGAGTACGCGGCCGCGCGGAGGCCGTGTGGGGCGGCCGCGGGGTGCGCCCCTCACCTGAGATAGAGACTGTAGCCGAGCACGCGGCCGCGCGGCGGCTTCGGAGGCTGCCAGCTGATGAGCAGGGCACCAGCACGCTCCATGGCGGCTGCAATGGCCCGCGGGGGTCCCGCCACTGCCGGCGAGCGGGGCACGGCGGCTGCGCTCAGTGGCGGCCCGCGACTCGGTCCGAGCGCGCCCGCCCTGCGCTCTGACAGCATGGCAAGGACTGCGTGTCTCTGTGTCAAGCAGCGGATGTTGATGCATTCGCTTCTTTCACAAGTTGTGCACTTATCGTGACTGGTTACCATCAGTGGCCGATACAAGTGAACTGAAGCTTTGGGGCGGTCTCAGTTGACATTGTTCAGAGGTCAAAAAGGCTGCAGTGTCGCACATTCATTGATTACATTTATTAATGCTTCCGCAACAATGCAGATCGCCTTCCACCATGGGCGCCGAGAATGCCGATTTCCTACCAGATTCTTCGAACACGGGGATCATCAGTATTCGGAGCGGCTGCATGAGCGATTGCCATGGTTGGCAGTTATTGTTAACTTTTGATGGACGACATTTTCAATAGCTCTGCGCCGAGCTCAGCGGCGGTTGCGAACAGGATAAGTCAGAATTTGTCGGCCCGCTCGGCCATTTACGACGCTGGATTATTTATCCGCCGGTCGCGTAAGACCCCAGAAGCTGGCAGATGGCGTGGCAGATCCGTCGCCGCCCGATTGGTTCGGTGATTGCCGTCGAGCCGGCGTCGGAGCAGACATCAGCTGCCAGTGACGCCGCCCGCCCGGCCCTCCCCGAGCGGCATGAGACGGTGCGGCCTGACGGCCTCGTGACGGGTGGCGGCTCCGCTGATCACGCGGCCTCGGGGGCCATTTACGCCACTGAGACATGACGCATCGCGAGCCACACAGAAGGCGCTGTACAGGGAACGATAATCTAGACGAGGTCTTGCGGTACACACACCAACCATACAGCGAGACCATAACCTTTTTCATCTCGCCTCTCTAAACTCCCAGTCACTGACTCATCACACAGCATTTCCTCCAGTAACACTCTTTGGCCACCTCTGCACAAACCCCAGTGCACATCCGCCCTCACCCACCCATTAGTCGCTGTCACCCTCCCCTCCAGCCGGCGCCGGCGCTGCCGCCGCCGCCGCCGCCGGCAGACCCTCACCGTCCTCGCTGGTCCAGCACAGCACGGGCGCGCTCCAAGGTCCGGCGCCGGCGGACGTGTGGCCGCGCACGCGCACCTCGTACCGCGTGTACGGCACCAGGTGGCGCAGCGTGCCGCGAGTGCGGCGCACCTCCTGTGAGAGCGGCGCCGACATCCAGTCGTCGGCGTTGAAGTAGCTGACCACGTAGCCGCGCAAGATGCCGTGCCTGCCGCCAGGGCGCTGGTCACCGCCGCACTGAGCGGGCAGGGCCTGGGCAGCGTCTCGAGACGTCAAAAGGGGGAGGAGCATACTTGGGAAATATATTTGCCGCCGATACTGAGGTCAGTTCTAAGATTTCGTTTAGACAACACGACGTACGGGTATTTCTGACATTCACGTCTGGGAATTTCTGACATTCAGTCACAGTTGCAGCCAGGCAGTCCGTAAAAATGGAGCGGCTGGCACGGGTGCAAGTTGTGGAGATGCCTGCTAGCTGTACAGCACACATTCGGGTGAAGGTGGGGGAAAAATTGACTCCGGAAGGTTTTCTAGAACTACTTCCTAACTTTGCAAAGCTACAGACAATTGAATGGCGGATCTTTTGATGTAATAATCAGACGTAGCTTGTAAGTCGCTGACCGACGACAGATCAAATTCAGACCGATTCAGACCGTGGCTGTCAGCAAATACTATCTCTTGGATAATATTTCAGTCTGATGTGACAACGGAGAAATAGACGAAGCCATGCATCTCTGCGACAGTTTCTTAGGCAAAAAAAAACTAATTAAAAATCGGAACCGATTTCTTGACTTACGATCGGGTATGAAGATTAGACCGAGGTAAGAACTAATCGGCGTTTTTACTCGAGAGCTTGAGTTATGCAATAGTTTTTTAGAGCTCATCTCGAATTTTTTCACGACAGGGACCACAACAGACATGCTCCATGGACTTTTCAACGGTCAGAGAACATCACTGGCATCAAATGACCCGGGTTAACATTTTGTTTTAGGAACATACCGCCTGACGTAAACCCCGACGCTTTTTCGAATGGTAAAATGGGAGCAATCTCACAGCTTTTTGATCACCTTGACTTACTAGAGCCAAAAAAGGTCGCTGACCTTAAACCAACACCATTTTGCCTAGAACAGGCACCTGGGTTCACGTGCGCTTGCATAAGGTCCGGGAGCACTTTGGACACTAATGTGGCGTCCCACGCGACCTGGGAGGTCAGCAGTCACGGGCAGAGGTCAACTTAGCATTCCTGGGGCACGACTGATCGGGCAGTCTTCTGCTGTTATGATTGCTCCGATCCGACTGTTCGACGCTGAGATGGCATGGCAGACGATTGCAAGTAGCTCACAGTCGGTCGCGGGTGGGAAAATACACCCTGCGACGCCGGATTAGTAGGATCGGTTACTCGCGAAACCGTGAACCCAGTTTTCCGAATTCCATAACTGGTGACACCTTTTTACCGGTGAATCTCTGTGGGCAGGAGGCACTCAATGCGCGGATCCACATGCTTTTAGCGTTGATTCAAATGTCGCACGTGTACCCGCCGCCACACCGCAGCACACTGGAAATGTCATCGGTTGGTCTAGACATCTGGTGACGTCACGCGATCCAGCGCGAGGTCATCGGGCGCTCGCAGTCGCCAGGTATACCGAGCGGAAGCGCCCCCATGTGCCCTCTTGAGAGCCGACGCGTCGCGTCCATTGCCAAGCCAGCACTCCGAAAATGAAAACGAAATTACGTTGCCATAACTTCACCGACAGACGTCACGCATCAGCCGAGTATAGCGGCTGCGGGGTCTCCAGCGACGTCATAATAACGAAACTCAATCGCTTGGACCGCTCCCAACGCGTATCGTGGAGGCGGGGACATATGACACTGCAGGCGGGACTGGATGTAAACGACTTTAATTCCTGACCCATTTACTAAGGCCCTTTGCGTGATATACGTCACTTCACAGGCGTGGGTTACACAGGTAGGACAAAATACACGGGTGGGACAAATCCTCTAAAGCGCTTTGCCGTACTGGACATGGTGACACAAGCTACAGTTTGCCATATGCTACACAGGTGTCCTCCGACAACTTATGGCCGCTTGCTGTCATGTAAGGCAGGCTTCGCCGAACCATACCCTCAATGTAGCATTGAACATCTCCGCTGACCTGTGCCATACCTTTCGTGACCTCTCCAGTAATTTGTGGTGTAGCCCGGGCTGACTCCTTCAGCTCCTCCGCTAGACCCTTGGTAACTTTTCTTCTGGCTTATACCGTATGTCAGGTGACCTCTCCAATAACGGGCTGACCTTTTGATTGACCCCTGTCGGACATATAATGACCTTTCCACTGGCACTGACCTGTGCTATACGCCCTGGTGACCTATCCACTGACCGGTGCTGGGCCCTTGGTGACCTCTCCACTGAGCTGTTCCGACACTTGGTGATCTTTCCACTGACCTGTGCCGAACCCCTCGTGACCTCTCCACTGACCTGTGCCGGACCCCTGGTGACCTCTGCGCTGACCTATGCCGAACCCCTGGTGACCTCTCCGCTGACCTGTGCCCAGTCCCTGGTGAGCGGTGACATCTGCACTGACCTATGCCGGACCTCGGGCGGGGTCCAGGTGACGGTGAGCGTGTCGGCGCTGGAGGTGGCGCAGCTGACGTCACTGGGCGGCTGGCCGGGCGCGTCTTCGGCCGTCTTGGCCGAGACGGGCGCGCTGGGCGGGCCCGGGCCGCAGCTGTTGTAAGCCGTCACCGAGACGGTGTAGGCCGTGAACCGGTCCAGCCCGGTCAGCAGCGTGTGGGTCGAGGCGCCGTCGGACACCTGCACCGACTGCCGGTCCCGCGGAGAGCCGCCGGGCCTGCCGAGCGTCGGTCACGCTCACGCCAGGGTGCCACATGGCTGGTCATCAAAGGCCCGATGGTCCTTCTGACGACTTCCGACCTATCTTTGAACGCCAAAGACTAATCGATAAGCATGGGACAGACCATTTCCGGCTTGACCAATACACAGATCATTTCCGGCTTGACGCTGGATATGTGAAATTCACCTGAGTGGTGAGGGTGGTAATTTAGATTGTTGGGCACAGGGTGCGTTGACTGCACTCGACGAGGCAATGACAGCCCACAAGCTCTCTTCTTTCTGTTTCGACACGAGCTGTTGAGATCACAAAAGGAAATGAGAAGCAGCCCTAGCAAGCGCAACTGCCATCTGCTTGAGGGGCGGGAGGCCGCACGGACGGTCGTCACACGTCCACCGACTTTGCTCCCACAGGGCCTGTCAGTGCAGCCCACACCCGATTGTTTGACCTGACCCGAGTCATTTGTCTTCAGACAGGGGCGGCTCTCGCTTCCCGTGGCTCGTTTCCACGCGTGCCGGCGTGGGAACGCTCGGGGGCGCCTCCTCCCCGACCCGGACCCCGTCCGGGCGGCGGCATCGGACGTCCAGAGGCGAGAAAAGCGTCAGGCGCAGGTGGGCGAAGGCGTGGGGCGGTAATGGCAAAGGCAAAATATCGATGGCAGCATATGGCAGCGGTGGCAGCAGACAATAAACAACTTGAATGCCCGCGGCGCACAGATGGGTGACAATTTGTGGCGGGACAACATCGCTGGAAAAACATAGTATAAAAAACATAGTGTACAAAACGAAAACAGGCAATATCATGAACGGCATTACATGAGCAAACAGCAAAAAGAGCATACGATTACAATCTGAGTGAAAAAAATAAATACGGAAACAATTAAATCAGTGGAACACAAAACAACAGAGCCATTGATGAGCCATGATGCATTGCAGGACATATTCCCTCATAACAACAGGCAAGGGCCACCTAGGCTAAAAAAGGATGTGAAGAATAGGTGGGCCTGAGGCTTTGCGTCCATAATTCCCAAACATGCAGTCAGCTATCCCACGATGCTCGAAGGGTTAAATTCGCGGCACATATCTACCCAAATAGGCTATACCGATGCAAAATAATGAACAGGAATCCCCAGAATCAAGTGAAACTACACAGCATGTAAGAATATAATTACAATCCATGAAAGCCACTGTCAACTGTCACGTGCCAACCTGCCCGTCAGCACGCGCTCTAGCTTGACCGCCTGTTCTGCTATCTTTGGAAGATGGCGTCCAGGCACATAAACAAAATGTCTTGATGGAGGAGGAGAGGGGCCACGCGATGACCACAGTCCACCGTCAGCCGTGATAACGAGTCCCGCCTCGATGTCGTGACGTCACGAGAGGCGGCACCGCACTGCGTCGGTTGGCAACAGCCTTGGATCGCCGAAGTTGATCGGAAAGTCCGCGCCCTCCGGACAAGTTTGACGCTCCGGCGGCGATGGCGCTCGGCCATGCCGCCTCTAATTGTTTAACTTGACGAGCTCGTGCGGCCGAACGCGCCGCCAGGTTTCGCACGCGGGGGCGGCTCCTGTCCACTGCCACGATGTCCGCTGTGGAGGAGCGAGCAGCGCCGGCCGCTGTCCGGCCATCCGGGACAGGAGGAGTGGACGGTTCGGACCATGGAGCAGGGAATGCGGATGTGGGTGGTTGTCTGACCAGCTGCGAATTCGTTTTAGTGGAGGTTACCGCAGCTGATCGGCGAGCACGGTTTTACTATGCCAGCGCGTCTTGTAGTGATACACGCGAGTAATATCAAACCATACCTCGGAGGACGCAAATTTGGCATCGATTGAATCAAGTTTCATTTCGCGAACATTTTTTGCTGAGACTGTTTTGTTTTGTGCTGCGTATTTAGATAAGCTGTCCGCGTTAGTTTCAATGCACTTTTCTACACCCAAATATATTTTACTGAACCCTGCCCTTCCAGATGTCTGAAGTTGATCTCGACAAAAACACAAAGATGCTTCATTAATCTAAAGACCACTAAATTTCCGCTCAGGAGTGCTCAGCAACCTCCACCAAACAAAATGATCATTCTGGACTGGATCTGGATCGGACTCTCAGGGGCTATTAATAAGTGGTTTGATTTGGACAGACATTATGTGAACTCGGAGTAACTCGCGCTGTCTTCGGCGTGTTGAGCGTGTGACATACCCGACGCGGCTGAAGGAGACGTTGTAGCCGAGGATGTTCCCGTTGACCAGGTCGGGGTCTATCGGCTCCCAGGAAACTCGCAGTGAAGTCGGTGTTAAGGCTGTCAGCTCAACTGATCGCACGAAGCCCTCCGGAAGGTCCTCGTCCGTCTGTACCTGCGATGACGAGCAGGGCATTCTGTGATGTGCCATGAGTTCCGCTTCCAAGCAGCTATATTTCCAACTAACGGACAAGACAGACAATTGTTTGCAAGACGCGTAAGGTGGCAGTCCGTAGCGAAGTAGACATGAAGTCCAAATGGCCAGGCGATCATAGACCGCGTGATGGAAGTTCACCATGTGCGGGCACGTTCTTCCACACCTCAGTGGCATCCCGCTGCACTACTATGAAGTAGGCTCTGCACGAGACATTGTCGACCATGAACAACTCACTCATTTGAAAGTCACATCAACGCGAGTGGGAGAGCCAGGATGATCGGCTTATTATGTGTATTTACAAAGTGTATTCCGGTGGTCCGTAATGAGTGTAAGCATCTGGGAAGCTACCTCAAATAGGTCGTTATAACCCTGGCCCCGGTAGCGGCGTTTTTCCAATGATTAGTTCATTTGGGTATAGCTGTTTAACTGGCTTATGCTTTAGGATTTCCAGCCTGCCAACGCCAACAAACAGCAGTCCATGGAAAAGTTCTTATTTCTGATCACATCACACGATTTTTTCGTAAGAATTGACCTTAAATGGGAATGACTCTTTAACTTACAATGCCTGCCATTTCTGCTGTGATCCCTCAAATTACAGCTTCATTAGCGGAACTGCAAAATTCTGGCACCCTTCAGAAACACGGCGCATTTACACCAGCGGGTAACCTGGTTTTCGTAGTAACCCCTCACGCCCGTGCATCGCTGCCTATTGGTTGGGTTGTGCGAGTGTGTAGAATAATACACTTGGTGGTTAAGGCCGGACAGGATGTCGTCGCGTGAACCTCTCGGGCGTTACAAGCTCACGCGCTGCAAGTGATGGGCCGAGTCTCTGGCACCAATCCTGCACAAAGTCTGGTCGGCCATGATTGACCGAGCGTTGTGGCATTGTGTCTTGCAAGACATGCTGTTGGTCGTTTTAGGTATCCGTCTGAACGAATACAGACCGGGTTCTTTCTCTATCCAGCAAGTTTTAATTCAAGTGCAAATTGTGCTACATCAATATCAGTGTTATGCCCAAAAACTTCCGCATGTGAGGCGACAAGCTCAGCCACGGGTGCAGTTTCGTATTCAGTTGGGAGGGGGTTCAGCCCACTTTCCCATCCCCAACTTTGAGAGGAAAGCCAGCAAAATTTGGGGGAAATCGCCAATTCGTCGTCAAGCGTCCAGTGTCGCCAAATGTTCCGTCAGTTATGCTGCTGCTGTAAAATGAGAGGAGGAGCTTTCGTCATATTTCAACTGCTCAGGCCCCGTCCCCGCCCCTTCTCCCAACCTCGTTTTGCCAAACCACGCCCCTGAGCCGAGCGAGTCTTGATGTCAACGAACCTAAGATTGTGTAGCTTTGGCGGCGTGACGCGGTCAGTCACCCTTTTGACGGACTAAAATTGTTGCGCCCGTTGGGTGCACAACAATGAAAGTCTCATCAAAGAATATGTTTTAGTTATGCCGTTATATTTCCAAAACATTTAAATGCAAGCTATTTGGTGAGGCGACGCATTCATGCACTGTTTTAATATCACCACTGCTTTACTTCCAAATTTGATTAACATAGGAGACGCAAATATTAATCCTTGTCCTGGTTCGCTTTTTTCCTAACGCGAACTGACGGGGAGTTGGTTCCCCGCCCCCTTGCTGTTTCTAAACTAAACAAAAAAGCTTAGCCGAAAACACCGGTGGATTAGTCGCAACAATATCTCTTCATGGGTAGTAAGCCGATGCTGCTAGGCAAAAATTAAGCCCCATATGCCAGGTCAAAGATCAAATGTGTGCGTGCTTTTCAGCTCTACAACCATATACATACGAGACCATGAATTTTAGCAGCGCAAACCCTTACACTGGCGTGTTCCCTGTTAGGTTTTGAGAAGAACGATGTTGTTGGCATACGATTTGAACATGCATGTATGATGCATGGCCCGTTAGCGTCGCAGTGTCGGCTCGTCTAGCTGGCGTTGTCACATCGTCGGTCGCAGTCCGCCGTCCGCCGTCCGCGCCGGCCGCAGGGCGCCGTGCAGTGTTCATATATGTTCATGTGCGGTGTGTCATATAAACTGCCACTGCTCCGAAAGGACACGTTTTCATTGTCAAAGCACGTGCAATGGATGCTCCAAAGGCTGCTGAAAATTTTAGTGCAATTGCACAATATTCTGGAGAGGTACCCTAAAAAACCTTAGGGGGTTGCATCGATCCCTCCTCCCTGTCAGGGCGGCGCTAAAATCGCGATTGAATACGAATACTCTCCAAAGAATACAGTTTGGAAACCGATCCAGATTTCAATGACCAGGCGTTTCAGATACATAAAGCCACCTGATGCTGTAACACTGTCAGGATAGAACGGACCATCATGCTAGTAAAAAAGGTGGGTTGATGTAAGCAAACCATGACCCGCAAGCGCGTGCAAACCACACACCCGTACGTTGGGTGGCTCTCTTTGGAGCGATGTCATATCTTGGCGTTAAGAGAAGGAAAAGATGTACAATCAGCTGTGCGGTACAAGCAAACGTATCGCCCGCAAACCAGTTATCGATCATAATAATGTCTGAACTGTGGGCCTAGCAGTAGCGTACCCGGCATTGTCCTACGTCACCTCCCCGCGAATTTGGTATCATATACAAACAGCCGCCTAAACTTAGAGACACTTGGGCATGAAAGCTACATGGAGCTGAAATCAGTTCATCGTTACCGATGCGTGGCCAAAAGATTAGCGTCGCTCCCAATACTTTGTCATGATAGCCATGAACAAGAACATATAAACTCGCCCATCCAGTAGATCAAAATCCCGAGCCTTCACAACCCCACCCAAAGCCAGCGTTCAAAAAGTATCGACTGCACGTTTCTGCGCAAATGCTTAGCAACAGCGCGACCTTGTCGGCTAAACTCATGCAAAGCAAATACACCAATGGACATATAAGTCTTATTTCCAAGGTCCACATGGGCGGCGGGATTGTTTAGTTTTTGTTTTATTCTCATCCGCATTATACAAAAGCAATTACGCCTGTTCCGCATTATACAAAAGCAATTACGCCTGCTATCACCTCACTCGCTGCAGCCCTTGAGCGGTGTCTATGGGTGTGTGACAGGCTGGTGGACTTTTACAAACTGGCACCGGGACAATCATCATTTGGCATGGGCATGCTTCCTTTACGCGACGCCAATTGGTGAACATTAGATGTATGTCGCCGAAGTAAACTGGAGAAAAAGGTCACGCCCATAAGTAGTTTCGTCCAACCTCTTAACATTGCTGAATGGATAGTTAATCTCAGGCATATTCAAAGTTCCAACGCAAGCCACGTATTATGGAGAAGATTGGTTAAAATCTGGATATCACACGTATTATTTGTGTATAGACAACATTGGTAATGACAATACATGCCAATGAATAAACCAAGATTCGAACCTAAGCTCTTTTGGTGCAGTCTGATAAAACTCCATTCCACTTCCAAAGAACAGCAATGTGTACGCGATGTTGACAATCACGTATATAGATCAACAGTCTCCCGTGCGCTTTTCGTATTCAGCATACCTGCTCAACTTCATATCTGCACATATACATACATCCGATATGCCTATATATAAATATATGTATATATATATATATATATATAAATCATTTATCAATACATCATTTTCTCGGTCACCTTCGCGTGGGGTCTTATTGGTCCTGGTGTTGTTGTACCTGTGCTGTGAGTCGTCCGACCGAAACTGAGACCAAGCACACCGAAACCTTGCTATTTTTAATACAAACTTTCCACAAAGTGTAAAATCTGAAATCATTGCGTCCTCTAAATGTTTGACTCAAGAAACGGCTTTTGTGAGGCACATCACAACAAATCACAGACCTTTCCAGGTGTCGTGCGCGGTTTTGTTCACTATATACGGCCGACGGCTACCCATAACGCGTTGCATTAGGTCTTTTTAAAATTCTGATCACATTTAGTAGAGAATAGTGCTGCATGTGAAATGCGAAGAGGATACAAGAGCGATGGCGAGAGAAGTATGGACCTTTAGCTGTCAAGATGACCTGTGCCAAAAGTTTCACGAAAGCAATCGCATCTTTGCAGAAGAAGTCGTTGCAAGTTTCCAGCAATGTAGAGCATGCAAGTAACTATAATTTGCTTCAGGTGCGGCGCCACGGATTTTTAGTTGGGAGGAAGGATTTTCAGGGGCCTCGTGGACAAAATGGGGTCTTCTCATATTAGGCCTTCTAGCAGTGTCATATTCAGCGTAGGGGTACCGAGGTCATATGCTCTTTTATCAAACAATGGCAGGTATTACATCCAAGTCAATAAATGTCGACGATGCAAAAAACGGAATGGGGGCCTCTTATTATCCAGCGAAGGGCCTCGGTAGCCAAAGACAGGGTCTTCTGATGCATAAAGGGAGTTCCTTATACGGAGCAATATGCTTCCGATTCATGAAGGGCCTCCAAAGGGAGCCAAAGGGCCTCGTTATCGCAAGACAGGGCAGCCTGATTCGGAACCGCGGCGATCTGATCCATTAAAGGGGCCTACTGTTCCAAAACTGAGGTATCCTGAATATAAATGATGACCCATAGCCCAGCACAGAGCCTTTTATTTTTAATGGGGGCCTCCCGAGCCGGCAAATGGGACTCGTTAACATAATATTGGACCCTTTGACCTAGACCATGAGCTACATAATTCAAAAAGGTGGCCTTATTATCCAGAAAACGAACCTCTTGATATAGAAAATTGTTTTCTAGTCTAGAGTGCAAAATCTCTTACTTATAGAGGTAGGCTTCGTGATCAAAATAACGCCCCCCCCCCCCCCCCCCCCCGATAAAGGAAGGGGTCTTCTGGGTCAACTTTAATGCTACATAGTTTAGTTTTGGGGCTTTCTTGATGGGAATTTTCGTAATCTACGGTTATTTGCAATGCCTTTAGTTTGGGAAAAAGGTGCCTCCCCGAAAATTTGGGTAAGCAGCAAAAGCATACTCTTGCTTCCTCTACCCACCCTCAGACAGCGCCGCCCCTGAGCTGCATGCAAGCAAGGAAGACAATATGACGTGCAAGTAAGAGCCTAATACTGCGTTACTGACGTGTTATCCGGCGGATAGATTTGTGGCTGGTGGAGTGGGATTAAATTCTTGTGCAAATATCGAGCGGCATAATAGTTAATATGTTGTTCTTCTCTAGCTCCTAACATCGCTTACATTCACGGCGATGTCATTTCTGCACACAGTCATTCATACTATTCGCAACGATACTTTTCTGTACACAGTTAGATAACCTTCATGTTATTTTGATATGCATGAAAGACTAAATTTGTTAACTCTATTCCCACGCGGTAAATGTCTCTTGAATTCTAGTCGGAAAAGAAGACTACACGGCTAAAAAGTTGTTAAAGTCTAACCGAGGTAAACAGTCGGCATCTACGTCCATCATCTTTATCAACGACGAAACTTTTCGGAAAAACACCATCCTACCATAAATGCCATTAATCATCAAACACTAGTCTGAGTGGTTGCAAAGGTTTTACAGCAACAAGTGCAGTTCAAAACAGGTTTTATAAATTCCCGCTGTCTTTTCCGAATGTCTGTTCGCCCGCAAATTGGGAACACATTGCGGTTCGTGGCCAAAAATGTTTCCCAGGTCAAAAAGCACTGAGGGAAAATGCTACACGACAAGACTGAGCTGATGCAAAAGGAGCATATCGTAAAAGCAACACAACAAATGCACAAAACTGGCCTGCGCGAGATAGAGTTGCGGTTTTAATTGCATCAAAAACTTTCTAAATCAAATAGGAATCCCTTCCAGCTGTATTTATTTCAGTAATCTGCTTTTCAAATTTAAAAGTTTCTGAAACTTCACAACAGAAGCCTATCCAACTGGAGCAAACATTCGCGGCCGAGACTTCCCATAAGTCACAGAAACGGCGTTTTTCTGCCAAACAAATGGAAACGGAAGATCTCACAAACAGTGCCGCTCAGGCTGCAACACTGCCGTATGGTCCGCCCCAGAACCCTGCGGCGCCAGCCGTGTGTTCCGCCCCCCAACCCTGCGACGTCAGCCGTGTGTTCCACCCCCCCCCCCAACCCTGCGACAGGTCAGCTGTGTGTTCTTGTCCCCGAACCTCTGCGACCGTCAGCCGGTGTTCCGCCCCAGAACCCTGCCGACGCCAGGGGGGCCCCGGACCCTGGTGTTCCAGCCCCCAGACCCTGCGACGCCAGCCGTGGGTGTTCCGTTCCCGCCAGCCCTGCGACGCCAGCCGTGTGTTCCGTCCCCCCGGACCCTGCAGCTGCTAGCCGTGTGTTCCGCCCCCGGGACCCTGCGACGCCAGTCCGTGGTTCCGCCCCAGGACCCTGCGGACGTCAGCCGTGTGTTCCGCCCCGGGACCCTGACGCCGTGTGTTCCGCCCCGGACCTGCACGCCAGCCGTGTGTTCCGCCCCGACCCTGCGACGCCAGCCGTTGTGTTCCGCCCGGACCCGCCCCCAGCGTGTGTTCGCCCCAGGACCCTGCGACGCCAGCCGTGTGTTCCGCCCCCGGACCCCTGGCGACGCCAGCCGTGTGTTCCGCCCCGGACCCTCACGCCACCGTGTGTTCGCCCCGACCCTGCGACGCTAGCCGTGTGTTCCGCCCCGGACAGTGCGCGGCTTAGCGTGCGCTCCGCGGGGTGAGCTGCGGAGTTGGCGCCGGCCAGATGGGGTCTCGTTCACGCTAAGTGGTTCCACGCCAGATAGCGTGTTTGTGCAAATCAGCTCCATAACCGGCCTAACTAATTACCACTACTTTATCGGTGGCGCAAACATTGGCTAACGAGGCGACAACAGAAGCTGGCCGTTCCCTACATCTTGATGGTGGCAAAGGCTGGATTAGGAAGAAGATAAAGAAAAGAAACATAGCTTGATCATCGCAGGCTAGAAAAGGTTCAGTAATTTTCTACCAACTAACATCCCAAAATTTAAAATCTAGGGAAACATAGACATTGTAAAGAACATCGTCCTTCCATGAGAAAAAAGAATCAGTAACAGACAGGCTTACCTCTATGACTGGGCTAGGCTTGCTTCTCCCCACGTCGTTCACAGCGGACACTCTCAGTTGATACGCGACCCAAGGTCGGAGGCCAGCGAGGGTGACCCGAGCGCCCTGGTCCACTGCAGTCTCTAACCATGTGCCTGGAACGGGTCAACGTGCCACGTAAGGTCTTTCACACAGATGGATGTTTCTGAGAGGTGGAGAAAGGAAGAGTAAAATAGAAAGAGCGTGAGGAGGGGTCTAGCGTTGAGAGATGGCCAGACGGAGACACCATTTGTTTTAAATACAATGCAGTGGTATGATATTATGATAAACGTATTCATGTCATTGAGAATGTTGACGCGTGCTCGCAATGTGAGTGGGTTCGTGTTATGCAAAACAAATGGAGCAGCCAGTTCTGCAATTCAAACGTCGGTGATTCTCAACGAGCAGAGCTCACTGAAAACATACCCTGGTAAAATATCGAGTCGGCGGTGTGCGGGGGCATGCCAAACACTACCCTAAGCCTCAGCATGCGCTGCAATAGACGGTTCGAGGCATCTCGACAGTCGCGTGGCGGGTGACGGCGGCGCCGTGTCGCTCTGCGCGAAGGTGAAAAGTGTGACGTCATGCTGAGCCTGTCACATGCGACAGATGGCAGACTCCCAAGCGGCCCTCGCATCCGTGGAGGTAAAGAAGCATTGTTTGATGCCTACTTTCGTGGAACTTGTCAGAAATTCGTCAAAGGACAGACCCTTTCACAAGTGATCAATATTGCCCCGGCGTGCGTCTTCTTCCAGCTTCTGACAAACACCTATCACCCAACCGCGGGCTGCGCGTCGCGCTGCCTACAATGCTGACACGCTGTAAAACCCAGCCTGAAGTGCCCGAACTCCGCGCTGCATAAGCCACGCCAACATCAGTTTGGCATTGGACGACGTAAAAGGCCACCATGAGCCAATACGCCAATACAATCTCGACCCAATGGAATTCAGTTCACTTTAACGCAGATCGCCTCTCGGATGCAAATCTGCTGCAAACGCTGAGGCAGCACCGAAGCTTTCACAGACGATTCCCGTCACGCAATAAAGAGCCCGGCGGCCGGGCTGAAAATTCTCTGCAGCTTGTTAAATCCGAACCCCTCCCCCCCCCCCCCCATATCCCTTCGTCCCTCTGCTTTGTCCCAGAAACGGCAAAAATGAAAACCCAGACGCCCGAGAAGACGCCTGCGCGTGAGAGATAATCGACGAGTCGGCGCGCTTTGATGTAGTTCCGTCGCGCTTCCGACAGTCTAAAAACGATTCCATCCGGCATAATCTGGACGAATATTCATCGGGGTTCGTTCTCGAGATCCTCTGATGTCTGTGGACCGTCTGTAACTTGAGGCCCACTAACGCCGACTACCGGTGCCTTTACTGCTGCTGTTCACGAGGAAGGACACGGAATGGACGAGGAGAGGGAAACAGCCGAGGATCAATGTCTGGAAGGCCAACGACACCGCGATTCCATTATGGGAGAAGAATAACAAAGAACGGGGTGCCAAAACAGGTTCATCTGATTACGGGAAACGGGCAATCAACGGGCTGCGTCTGACGATAACAAATGTGTCCGAAGCACCGCCACGTTGATCGGCGTTCCGTGACGGTTTAAGCCCATCGATAGAGTGCATCAAAGACTTTTCGCAGCATAACGGCTAACCCGATGTACGCAATTATTCTCTTTTTATGCAACAGACATCCGCGTGGTGAGTCGCTCAGATCAACGTACTCGTTTCCATGGATACAATTCTTTTCACACGCAGCAAGCCATCGCCTTGCTAAACACGCGCTGACACGCTCTTCGAAGCATTTGTTTTCCGAAAGGCACGCGTTTGAGAACTCACCATTGGTTTCGGCTCTTCGGTACTGAACGATGTATTTGACATCTGCTGTGGGGTCGTGACCCCAGGTCAGCGACATCGAGCGGCTCGCCACCGAGACCAGAGCCATGTGGGTGGGCATTGCAGGCGCCTCTGAAACAATACCATCCCACTGACAGCTCGAGCATTGGCCCACCAGGCCCCTGCGCTCATGAGAGCTCTCAGACAGGCGATTCGATATCACAGTTCAGTCTTCAGTTACACGGACCGAAGACAACCTTAATCACCAGCAAATACCGAAAACGGGCGACCAGACATCCTGGTTCTGAGTTTATTCCGATTGATATGCAATATGATCACCATCAACATCACCATCATCAACATATCTTCTGAGGACCTTCCACATGCTGGATTGCCGTCTTTCCCTACCGTCACCTGGGTGCTACTGCACCAAATCTTCCCCCGTGCCGGGGATGGGCCCAACGGTGGCGGTCCGGCGTCGCTTGAAGCAGCGCGTTCTGGCCCAGGAGCGGCACCCCGCCCCCACACCGGTGTCAGCAGCCGGGCGGCGGCCCCGCGGCGACACAACATACCGCTGCCATCCGCCGGCGCAGTGGTCGTTATCAATTCACGGCGCCAGTCCCGGCCGGCCGGCCGTCCCCCCCCCCCCCCTCCCCCCCCCCCGGCCGTCCCGGCCGGTCTAATTCGAGCGCGCAGGGCGGCAGCGGCGAAGGCGGCGCACCTTTCACCGTTAGTTGGGCGAACAGATGATCACGGCCGTAGTCGTTCTCTGCGGCGCAGATGTACTCGCCGCTGTCGCTGATCAGCGCCGCGGAGAGTCGCAGCAGCTTGGCCGTTATCTCGCCGGCCGTCTCCTCCAGCACGGAGACCCTGTGGCAGCGAGAGGAGGCCACACGTGGTGTCGTCTGACGTCTCCTGCAATGCGAAGTCCCTGGGGCAGGAGAGGAGGCCACACGTGGTGTCGTCTGACGTCTCCTCCATTACGGAGACCCTGGGGCAGGAGAGGAGGCCACACGTGGTGTCGTCTGACGTCTTCTCCAATACGGAGATCCCGCGGCACGGAAAGTGCGGGGAGCCGAGTTTGACAGGCCGTCGCGTACGCCATGGAGATGAGAAAGCATTTTCAGCTTGCTCAAGCCGTCCTGTGCAGGAAAGCTGCTTCACGTTCGGCATTGCAAGACGATAACGCTACATGTATAACTGAGGTCACGATGTTCTTGACGTCTGTCAGAGGTGAACAAAAACCACAAATGACATAACCCCACACTAAGTTCACAAGCGCTCGTGTCTGGTCAACTGGACTTGCTGGAGGTTTTTTCTAGGGTCATTGCCGATCGGCGCGCTATAGCCCGAATGTTAGCCGAAGTGCTAGAAGGTTTTGGAGTGTTCGATGACACCTGACATCTCTGAGATAATTTATTAGACAAAAAATAATTAAATTTAGGATTGCAATAAGTCCCGGCGACCCAAGGCTAGGCATGAAGACGAGACCAAGGTTCAATCCGCCTGCTTTTTTTACTCATGGGCTACCTGTATAGGAAAGCTTCTGGTGTTCATTTGGAATTAAATGATAACAGGGACAGCAAAAATATATTTTATAGACTTTTTTATAGGTCAGAGTGGGTCACTGACCGAACATGGCCCACCTCAATTTTGTTTTAAGGACATACCGCCTAGTATAATCTTCAACGTCGACTCAAAAGCTCAACAATCAAAACGATGTCGTGGCAGTTGAATCACCATGACCTTCTTGAGGACAAACAAGGTTATTCACCTTAAATGAACACCAGTGACCTTTTGCATAGAACAGTCCTATAGGTTCAAGGCAGTCGCATGAGGAGGACCGTGACACTTTGGAAGCTCATACGGCATTTGAGCTTGCTTGCCAAAGGTCATATCCTAGGAAGCTCACATTTTGACACAAATTAGTTCACACAGCAACCCAGCTCACCCTGTGAATTTGGTATCTCTAGCTTCCTTGGTTTTTGTTATCTCAGGGGATTCAAATAACGCCCCACCAAAGCGAAGGGTACTCAACCGGCCAACCGGGCGCGTGTTAATCTTCCACCTACCTCAGCTAAATATTCCAGATCCAATCAGTGTTTGGATAGCAAAAGTGCAATCAATTATTCACAAGGCCTTTGTGGGTGTTATTCAAAAACAAAACTTCGTTTTTAGAGGGTTTGCCAGAAGTCTGTTTATCATTAAGCAGAGCATTTTGACTCCATATTTCGACGCCTGATACTCGATCTGCGCTTGATACTGACGCCATCTTGCTTGCAGGTCTGAAACTGGTCAGTCCCTCGCACGAATGCACTTCATGAAGCTGGCGGCGTTTACGACGGTGGGAGCCTGAAGTGTTAGTATAACACACACCATTTTATATTTCTTCAGTAACATTACATCGGATTCTTCGGTCAAAAAGGCACCATTATTCAGCAAAGAGTGGTCGTTGGGAACAAAGAACATTGGGCATCATAAATTAGTAAAGACTTAAGAGGGTGCTCAAATTGTCCTACTAAATGTAACTTATCCCGACGTTTCACAGATTAACTCCAGTAAGACGGCAGCGTAGAGAAAATGTCACAGCTCTCCGCATTCTGACAATTGTCAGGAATAGTTCAAGCATAAACGTATAACTTGTACGCATTTTCATATGCATATCGAATAGTTAAATGGCAGTGTTACGACTAGGAAGCAAAGTGCGAGTGTCACACACTAAGCTGAGCCCATGCTGCATTTGCGCGGCCGACTTTGAGTTTTAGACTGGGTGCCGATCAGATTCTCTGGCGCATGATCTGCGTTCATCATCAGTAAAGCCCTGTCATGGTCGAACACATAATATTACCCCGACCTTCTGATCATCTCAGTATCACGTAGGGATCTTTTTCGATGTGCATCACGGTAGCAGACACAAAATGGGCACCCGAAGCCGGACTGATGCTCTTTGTCCAGTTGCCAGCTGACCTTTCCGCGCCTTTCTGTTCAACACGCGCGTACATACCTTACGGAATTCCTACCAGCACTGCCATACTGCGAGACCAGAATAGGCCCAAACGTGGCCTTGGAGGAAGATAAAAGATCAAGCTCATCACCTCGTGTGAAAGGCTGTTCTGACATAGATTACAGTGAGCCTCACCTGACGTCTTCGGACATGGCCAGGTCACGGCCCGCTCTCATCCAGGTCACGGCTAGGGGACGGTCCCCGATGACGTCGCATCGGACCTCCACCGGCTGGCCCTGAACGGCCCTGAGGACCGGCGGCGTCACCGTGACCCGGGGCGGCACTGTAACGGAGGAGCCCGGCTCAGCGCGGATCGTGAGCTACGGTGAGCGTCGCTGGCCGCTCACGCTCCGGCCCAGAATGCCATAAGATAGGATGTATGCCTCGATCTCTATGTTTGAGATGCAATCCATTTTTGCTATTTGATGACTACTGCACTACATTGCCGAGGGCGCACGGCGTATAAAGAAGACTGGTGTTATATCAAATTAGGCCTTTTCATGTGCCACGGTGCGGCAACCGCAACAGTTGGAGGCATTGAGGACTGACGGTACGCAAGGAGCCTGGGCGCCGAAGAAATCTGCTGTAATGAATAGTCAAGCATCAACATTTTCTAAACGTTACGGCCTTTACCTCAAGGGATTTGTCAATAACGGCCATTCCTGATAGTCTTGGAATCAATCATAGCATTGTTACAGCGCGCCCGACGTATCCGCTGTGTTGTAAGTAACTGGCTCACGGTTGACCAATTTGGACAGACTGTAAACTCATCCTTTCAGAACTTTTTGATTGTAGTAGCGGCTGTTAAAGGTACACCAGATATCTAAGTGAGAAAATGAGCTCATTACGACCTGATGTACATCGCTGCAACACCGCCATCTGCCTGGTATTCTGTGCGATGCTTGCAACATACTCGAAGTTCTCGTCGTTCTCCACCCTAATTTGGCTATACATAAGCCTTGAGAGTGGAAATAACGCTGGAATGGTAGCAGATAAGACTCGAACGCATCGATGATGAGCCAGACCGAACGCATTGATGATGAGCCAGACTTCCACACGATGCAAATATATCCTGCAGAGTCGTCAGCACGTTCAAACTCCCCGTCCCACACGACGCGCAGCTGGCTTCAATAATGCAGTGAGGTTGTTAGTCTCCCCATACACAGGCCATAGCGCGGTTCGCAGTCGCCGACACGGATCCGGATGGCCTGCCGTTACCTTGGACACGGATTTGGATGGTGCGCCGTTACCTCGGACGCGGATCTGGATGGTCTGCCGTTACTCCAGACGCGGATCTAGATGGTCTGTTGTTACTTCGGACGCGGATCCGTATGGTCTGCTGTTACCTCAGATGCGGATCGGGATGGTCTGTTGTTACCTCGGACGCGGATCCGTAAGGTCTGCTGTTACCTCGGACGCGGATCCGTATGGGCTGTTGTTACCTCGGACGCGGATCGGGATGGCCTACCGTTTCTCCAGACGAGGATCTAGATGGTCTGCAGGTACCTCAGGAGTGGACTTGGATGGTCTGCCGTTACCTTGGACACGGATCTGGATGGCCTGTCTTTACTTCGGACGCGGATCTGAAAGGTCTGCCGTTGTCTCGGACGCAGATATGGATTGCCTGCTGTTACCTCGGACGCGGATCTGGATGGTCCGCCGTTACCTCGGACGCGGATCTGGATTGTCCGCCGTTACCTCGTAGGCGGATCTGGATGGTCTGCCGTTACCTCGGACGCGCATATGGATTATCTGCTGTTACCTCAGACGCGGATCTGGATGGTCTGCCGTTGTCTCGGACGCGGATATGGATTGTCTGCTGTTACCTCGGACGCGGATCTGGATGGTCTGCCGTTGTCTCGGACGCGGATATGGATTGTCTGTTGCTACCTTTGACGCGAATCTGGATGGTCTGCCGTTACCTCGGACGCGTATCTGGATGGTCTGTTGTTACCTCGGACGCGGATCTGGATGGTCTTCCGGATGGCGGGCGACACGCCGTTGGCAGCCCGGCACGTATACTGGCCGGCGTCCGTGGCGTTGGTGGTGGTCAGCACAAGCGAGCCGTTCTGCTGTTCCGGGGACGTCGCCGGCCCTGAGGACGGACCCACGCGCCGGCTTCAGACCAGCCGCACGACAGGGCTTTACGAGAGCACTGAAATGGTCGCGGACGCGCCGAGTGACGCGGAGGATGGGTCATGTCGACACCCATCACCACCCAAACCGCTCGTCGCCATATGTGGCGCCGTTCGTTCTACATCAAACGCTATTAAATCGATACATTTATCTTGAATCGTACACAAGTAAGAACACAATATTCGTTGGAGCCTACTCGTTTCGCGGCAAAGTGTGCCACAAAACAAGGTAAAAAAAAAAACAGAAATCCAAAAGCCAAGAGGTTTATCGTGCTGACTTGTCAGGCAAATGAATTTGAAGATTGGTAATGTCTGTTCCACTATGAATTTACCGTAGTTACGTAATCTCACGAAGACGAGCTGTGACGATATTTTATGCCACACAGCTTAAATCAATATCATCAGACGATCTCAACTCACGCCACAAAACTCGGAACTAGAGCGCAAAACAGAGATTAGCCCCGCTTACGCGCCATTAATTCCCCATCGACCCTAATTGCCCACGACGCTTCACAAGCGTCCAAAGCGCCTCGATAGATGACTGCATCTCCCGCCGGATCTAGCCCGGCAATAACGCCGAGTCTCGAGGCCCGTGCCGCCCGTCCGCTCCCTTCGTCTGATGCCGGGTCGGCTCGCGACAAAAAGACTGCCGGACCCATTTACACCCTCCCCGGGAGCGGGCTCAGGCTGTCAGCCGAGCAGCGTCACCGCTGCGCTCTGGCCGCGGCGGCGAGGCCCTCACGCGTGGCGCGGCCGCCAGCGCCGGCGGTGATTGCCGCCGGTCTGGATTATCAGAGCGGGGGCCCTGGTCAGCTGGGGTGACGGTCCGGGAGTCGGAGCGCTGCGCCGGACAGTGAAGAAAGGCGAGACGCGGCGCTGCGCCGGACAGTGAAGAAAGGCGAGACAGGGCGCTGCGCCGGACAGTGAAGAAAGGCGAGACGCGGTGCTGCGCTGGGCAGTGAAGAAAGGCGAGACAGGGCGCTGCGCTGGGCAGTGAAGAAAGGCGAGACGCGGTGCTGCGCTGGGCAGTGAAGAAAAGCGAGACGCGGTGCTGCGCCGGACAGTGAAGAATGGCGAGACAGAGCGTTGCGCCGGACAGTGAAGAAAGGCGAGACGCGGTGCTGCGCTGGGCAGTGAAGAAAGGCGAGACGCGGTGCTGCGCTGGGCAGTGAAGAAAGGCGAGACAGGGCGCTGCACCGGGCAGTGAAGAAAGGCGAGACGCGGTGCTGCGCTGGGCAGTGAAGAAAGGCGAGACGTGGTGCTGCGCCGGACAGTGAAGAAAGTCGAGACAGGGCGCTGCACCGGGCAGTGAAGAAAGGCGAGACGCGGCGCTGCGCCGGATAGTGAAGAAGGACGAGACAGGGCGCTGCGCTGAACAGTGAAGAAGGGCGAGACTGGGCGCTGCGCTGGACAGAACAGACAGCGGAGCTGGGATGCCGTGCCAGATAGAACACATAACGGCAGCATCGCCTACGATAGGACTAGGGTTAACCGTCAGAGCCGAACAGTGCGTTCGTCCTCTTATGTAGCCAGCGGCGTGCCCAACACGTACGCAGCATGAGAGCCTCAGGACACTATTTGAGCATAGTCAACGAGAACAGAAATACACGATAGGAAGAGGGGTACCGGGAAAGAGAGAGAGAGAGAGAGAGAGAGAGAGAGAGAGAGAGAGAGAGAGAGGGGGGGGGGGAGAGAGACAGACAGACATACCGACAGACAGACATACCGACAGACAGACATACCGACAGACAGCCAGCCAGACAGTCAGACAGACAGACAGACAGACAGACAGACAGACAGAGAGAACAGATACTACAAATCCGTAACTAAAGCAGTAATTTTCCGTGATGTGGGCCCATTCCGACCCATATTTTGCATGCTGGGGGCGCTCTTCGTCCGTCGGAGCACCGACCACGACGCAGTGCGCACGGCGGCGAGGCGCCGCTCCAAACAGTGCGCGTGGCTTCAATTTCAGGCTCATTCAACATTTATCATGCCTGTCAGCGCTGCAGTCTTCCGGGCAACACTATTCAGCGATGCAGTCTTCCGGGCAACACTATTCAGCGGTGGCTTTCCAAATGCGCCCGGCTGCCAGACGCCAATTGCGCGAGCCAGCAGCAGTGCGTCTTCTGCTTCGCACTTGCCTAATGATCCCAGCCTCGACTGATATCGCCTTAAGCTTTCCGGAAATAGCTCTCCAGACGAGGCACGCTGTTCTTACGTATTACGTTTGAGTACTGCAACGCTGTCCAAATGCTCGCGCGTGCCAATGGCATGTTCACGAAAATGCTCACAAGCAACATCACAGAAATCATACATCATATCTGTGCCTCACCTCTAGTGTTATGTATCTACAGCCCTTACGTATTATGGGTTCAGTATCTATAAGCATGAAGCATCGACAACCCAGACGTACATAGGACAAGCCGTGGAGTTCGAATTATATAATGTGCTCTTGTGTTGACATTGGAGCCGGTTATTATCGCCATAAGAACTCACAATTCGCAAAAACAGACGCAACATGTCCTTCTTTTCAACATCCCGAGAACAAAAGCAGGCTCAGAGGCGTAGTTTACTTTTCAGTTGGGGGAGGGAGGCTTCAGCTTCCCCCCCCCCTCACACTCCAACTTGGGCTTAAGCCTCCCCCCCCCACGCCTCCGACTTGGGGTTCAGCCCACCTCCGCCCTCGGGAAAAAAGTGGGCCAAATTAGGGGAGAAATGTGTTCGTGGGCATATTTCCAGGGTAGTTTGTAGTTTTTTCACGTTTCGGCCTCCCCTCCCCTCCAACTCATTTCATGAAACTACGCCCTTGGGCAGGCTATTAAGAAGGGTAAGGTTAAATGGGTAGATGCAGGAGAATACCGGATGGTGAGATGAGGAAAGCGTACATAGGTTTGCATTACCTGAGGTTCATTAGTGAATGGGTCACCAAGCTCAATCGGCTGCCAATAACTAATGCACGACAAGAATGAACAGCAACACAGGCTAGGAGCACCGAAAACATCCCACAGCATTGGAAAATACGCTTCGAGGGGAGTCGTGACAGCGCATCCATCAGCGCGCCGCTGCACGGTTCCGTGCAATCACTGACCACGTGGCGTGTATTGAAGATCTCAAAACAGTTACCACTGCGCCGCGTTTAGTTGGACGACAATTGAACGCGACAGCTTCAAATGAGGTCGGGCCGGGGCACATAAGTCTTGTCACCAACAATGGTCATCATACGATTTTAATTGCGCCTTTTGGAGAACTCCAAGTTGTAAGCATCGACACACTTTTTAATCAACTGAAAACTTTGTGGCGTTTCGCGGCAACTGGCGAGAACTTCCGTCTTCCGTGAGCTCTGCATTGATGGCGGCTAGCTCGGCGGCCCGACACTGCGGCAAGGAATCCCCGTCCTCAGCGCTGAGAGTTTCGTCTGAGCGCGGCGGCAGCCATAGCGCGCGGAACAGGCGAGAGACCGGGGCAGAGAAGCGGCAGCCGCCTTATCGCTCCCAGACCAGGCGAGCTGACCTAAACAGCTTGCAGTACACATCCACCCGCACTCTCCGCCTCGAACGCTGGATGGACTGCATGGACTGCAGCGTCAATGTGGTGAATACGCGACTCTGAGTACACTACGCAGCCTTATCATAACATAGATTGATCTTCCTCCATGCACCTTCAGAACACTGTAGACAGGTTCACACCACATCCCGTCGTGTCAGTGGTCTCCGCTTCCGTGTAACACACACACACACACACCACACACACACACGCACACACACACACACACACACACAACACCACAACACCACACACACACACACACCCACACACACACACACACACACACCACACACACACACACGCACACGCACACGCACACGCACACACACACCACACACACACACACACACACACACACACGCACGCACGCAACGCAACGCAGCACTCACGCAGCACGCACACGCACAGCACGCACGCACGCACGCACGCACGCACCCTCTGGCTGACAGACAACCCAAGGGCTCCGCGGGACTCAAGGGACCTGTATTCATGGCACTGGTGTCCGACGACTAGGACGGCACACACCGAGTCGACTGCAGGCGCTGCCAGCAGTGACGCGACATCAAGAGCACGTCACACGATGGCGATGACACATCGTGAGACGCGTATCTTATGCCCGCAATCTGATGCTCGCATATCTTCACGCGGGCATTCCCAGAAAAAATGAATGCCTGAAGTCCCTCGACCTTACCAAAGCCAGGCCGGAGCCCATAACTGAGGTGCGCTGTCTACAGCGACGGCAAGAGTTAACTGGCATTAGACGTCTCATTGGGATTGATGCGCTGAGTCAGGCAGATACTGCGAGTAGGCACACTTCCGTTTGGGTCATATCAAGTCAACTCGATCGAAAACAGACACCTCTTGATCCCGACCTGCTTCGATTCTGGCACAACTTAGTGGAGATGGAACGTTTCTGAGAGCTACACACACAACAATACGTAGCGACTGGTGGCTATTACATCCGAGCCAGGCTGCATTATGAAATCGCATTTTATACTCGCCTAACATCCCTAAATCTTCATAATGCTGTACCTATATAGAACCGCTTGGCAACCGGTGTGCCATTTCATACTCATTTCAGCGCCCATATGTAAATTTTCTTCATATGTAAGACTTTTGTGTAGCAGCACTGTTATGAGCCCATGTCAAAACGGTCTTACAAGTTGTGTTATAAGCTTGTATAGCATGTCTGGCACCGCATGCAAATGATTTTTTTTTGGGGGGGGAGGGCGGCACAGCGACAAAACTTTGAAAGTGACGGGCTCAGCCCAGTCGGCTTCATACCTTTTAGCAGCAGACATGGTTGCAACTGCTGATGGCAACTAAAAGCAGCCGTCAACAACATGAGGAGCAATTCTTCAAAGGTTTGTGCTGCATAAATTGTTAGTCATTTGTGTGCGGGCTGTTTGATGAAGTGACCTTTCTCTATAGGATTCAGTTTCACCTGTCTCATTCCATTGAGATAGTAATTACATCTTTCACATAGCGAAAAAGCCCAGGAGCACGAACTCCGAACAGATCTAAATCCCGCCCCCCCCCCCCCCCCCCCCCCGTGCGGCGGTAAGACTGTTAACCTCTACTAATGCGCGAGGAAACAGACCGCAGTACTAACACCAGTGGACACACCATTACCCGCTGTCGTTCACAAGCCATGGATTTGCCTGCTTTGGGCATTTTAACTGCACCGTGTTTGCGAGTGTACAACCGGCTGCACTCGCTAACATGCTTAAATTTGTCGGCCGCACAGATGTAATCGTATCTGTCCGGTAAGCAAGACTGTCACCGTTCCCATAAGTGAGAGTATAAGAAGTTGTGGCTTCGACATATTGAGATTGGAATGCAAAACTGCATAGTTTTAAACACTTTCATAAAATTATACATGTTTACTATGACCAGTGCCCTTATAAAATGGTTGTGATGCCCGCAACATATTGGTCACACGTTCACACGACGTAAGTTACTACGCATTAAGCAATTTCTTCATTATTAAAACCTCGTACCTGGGCCAACTCCTGGTCAGCTAATCATCAAGCAATGTTGTTTGTGTATTAGCTTGCGAATGGCCCAGATTTGCATGGTGCAACCTATAAAACCAACTCATGAACCTCCCGCTGCTGAATTACCATGAAAGGCGTGCTCATCGACGCACTAGTCACACCAGTTGGTACCAATTCTAAAAGGTGCAAAAGATATATCGCCTCATGCGTTTGGGTTTTAATGTCATGCGCATGATGACAACCCACCTCGCGACACACCCAACTCACACTCGCTCAAAACATAACTCACTCAACTCACAGAGTTGTATCGTTTGAGTGACAAGTCAGACCAGGGTAAACGCAGTCGCGTTCGCACAGCAAATCTGCTCTTGTCACTATTACGTTGAATTCATTTTACCTATCTACCTCGACTACGATGGCATTCTAGGAGTACGCCATGGTCATCCTAAGGCATGCTGAACTTGAGTCTTGATGTCTTGGACCTCAAACGGCCTTTTACACTAACGTCCACCAAAACTACGCCATATCCCACGAGTATTTCACAAGCTGATCTACTTTCGATGTCTACAAGGATCTATAACTTGTGATGGATGACCGTCTTATTCTGACGTGTTTCGTACGTTGCAAAGTCTGTCGAACAAGACCGCCGAGGAATGAATAGTATTCCCCAAATGGGGTGATGCAACTGACCAGTGGCTTTGTTTGGAGCGCCCCTACTTGTTCCCACTCCCTCACATCTCACCGAAAGAAAACGGAACGCTGGACGGTATTGGTCGACTGCACCGCATTTCCTGTACTGCATCGGCTGGCTCCTCAATTACGGGGAATCCCGCACTCTTGCTCGAAACCTGCATGACCTCGACACTTGGCCAATTGGACCGAATTACGAACCCCGGTGACCAGGCCAGCTGTGAACAACTTCTGTTCTAACCGGTAACTGGTGCGAACGCGGTGTCAGATCCAACACTACAAAGCCAGTGGGCTAACAAGAACGAACAAGAAACGACAAATGAAGCGGAAAGAATGATCACGGGTTGAAAAGGTGATGATGACGTCTATTCGTTAAGTTACCGTAACAGACAGATGACCGCCGTCGCTAACAGCTTCACTAAGTTTCCAGCTTGGAGCACACCACAAGTATTTCCGGGTGCCTTCGAAGTGAGTAATAGTTTTGAGACGCCCGGTCTGCCTATTTCAACTGAGCATGAGTCGATGCCGGCGCTGCCAGCCCCGTCGAATCGACGAGATATGGCGCGCCGCGGCTCGCCCTTCACGACGGAACGAACAGCTCTGCGATATGCCCGTCGATAAACAGCTGTATGGTTCGCTGGCTCACCACATTTATGAAAGAGATCAATCAATAAATTTTGTTTCCCAACAACGGTACTGACCTTGAGAGCACGACTAATGTAAGATCAGTCGCCGATAGCACTTGGTCTCATTGCTCTGACAATACGCATGTGCAATCCTGTATCATCAAAACCGAAATCATTGCCACAAGAAGGTTTCCATCAAATCTGAGTAGAATGTTCTGGTTATAAACGCACCAAACTCATGATGGTCTGTCATGAGCACTTTAACAGTGGTCGTACCGGCACATGGCTTTAAAGCTCTGATCACATTTCGTAGAAACTACATAAAGCCAATCAATATTGAAGCGTCAGTCATCATCCACACTCAAGACGTTTCTAACTCAAAATCGTATATGCCCAAGGATGACTATAACTGACACTTTCATACCATTGGTGTCCTTGTCGACTGAAAATCCTGCCAGCATTGGTGCGAACCTGATGCAAGGGAACACGACCGAATTTAGTGTACTCTGACAGGTCGAATAAAGCACATGTCGGGAAATGACCATTGTTTCTGCGGTATAATATGGTTTGGTAATCATTTTTCATTTAGCTCTCAAGGTCAAAGCCATAAATCTCCGCAGGGCAAAATACATGAAGTAAAAGCTGGACTGGTGAGACATCCATTCTCCTGTTTCAAAAGTGTCTACTGACCTCAACAATTATCTTTCCTCACGTTTTAAGTATGCTGCACGTGCCGGAAAAAAATTAAAAGGAAAATCAAAGAAAATGTGGTGCGCAAAAATAGTTAAAGCCCGAAATGCTTTATCTAAATTAGTCCAATGAAAGGTCAAAACAATGGAAATGGTCACAAGTCATGCGCGTTTGAAAAATATCAAAAAAGCATAAGTTGCGCTAAAATCGTCAACTTGTGTTCTTTCCACGTAGCTTCACAAGCATTTCATTCAACAGGCAGTTCCTGAATGGCCACGGATCCTGACCCGGCAGTCACCTTCCCAGCAACTGACATGCGATCGTCTTCCATGGCAAGCCCCATCGGCACAAAACTGCATTGCAATCACAAAGAGTGACGAACGAACCTCCTCGACTTGACATGGAATGACCCTTGCAATGTCACGTCATTTGTTGCTTGGGTGGTGCTAGTAGGTCGGCAGACATATCGCGAAATAAGTGAGTCTACACACATGAAAACCTGTCAATCTGATTCAGCTGCACCGAGCCTCGGCTGATTGCATACGGCTCTATACACCAAGCATATCGACGAAGCAGGCAATTTCAGACCGTCATCTACTGCCAAATGGCGGCCGGCTCGGTAACAGTTGTTGAGCGGCTGTTGAGTGTTGAGTCACGGCAGTTGCAGCGGTTGAGTAGCCCGGCGGACCACGCTGTCAAAGGCCCGGCAGCCCTCGCTGCAATGGAGCCCCACCGGGTCTGCACAGCTGCAAAATGGCGGAGCCAGGCATTGCCGCTCTTGATCCTTCTTTGATGAGTTGACGAAATCATAACGGACAAATGATCGCTTGGCCTCATGGTATTCAGCTTTTCCAACGGGGAAAATAGCGCAAATAAATTCCGGCCAATAAAAACTCGACGTCGGATCCGGAGGAGATGGCATCTTACCGTTCTTTATGAGTTTCGTCCAAGTTACGACGGGGGCTGGAAACCCGTCGGCAGCGCATTTCACTTCGGCTCTCTCCCCTCGAATCAGGTCAAGGTCTTCCGGCTCCGTTGTCCAGAAAGGTGCAACTGAAACGGAAAAGCCCGATTAGACCTTGTTGCTCGCACGTGGTTAAGTTGCATGGTCATTTCACATGGTGTGCATCCAGATACCGAAGAGCGAATAGGACGCCGTGGAACCGATACCCGACGGGCTATTGTCTTACCTTCACAGACGTTAGTTTGCCATACGAGCCGTGTCCTTTCGAGCAACGTCAGCACCATCAGCCACGAGCAACTGCTGGTCCCTTTCTGAGCCGAGCCGTTACTCTATCCCCATTTCAACGAACGACATCGTTTCGATCTCAGCTGAAACAGCCGGCGACGACTACGGCCGGCTTGGAGCCCCCCCCCCCCCCCCGCCCTGCCGCCCACGCACCTGACACGACGAGTCGAGCGCTGTGATTGGCTCCGCCCGCCTGGTTGGACGCGGCGCACGTGTAGTTGCCCGAGTGGTCGCGGCGCAGGCTGCGGAAGCTCAGGATGCTGGTGAACTCGTTGACCTTGGAGACGGCAACGTCGGGCCGAGCGAGCGGGGCGCCGTCTTTGAGCCAAGCGAGCCGGAGCGGCGAGTCGCCGCGGGTCACCACACACTTGACGGACTCGCGGTCACCGGCCCGCAGCGCCGATGTGAAGGTGAACGGCGACACCTTCGGCCCCACTGCAGCAGAAAGGTCGCGGTTCAGTGGCGCGCCTGACCGAGCACCGTCTCTCAAGACACGGCGTCGCCGGAAGCTCAGGAGACAGGACAGTCACGCGTGGAGCTCTGGAGACAGTCACGCGTGGAGCTCGGGAGACGGTCACGCCTGGAGCTCAGGAGACGATCACGCCTGGAGCTCGGGAGATAGTCACGCCTGGAGCTCGGATGATTGTCACGCATGGAGCTCGGGAGATGGTCACGCCTGGGATTCGGGAGATGGTCCCGCCTGGAGCTCGGGAGATAGTCACGCTTGGAGCTTGGGAGATGGTCACGCCTGGAGCTCGGGAGATGACCACGCCTGGAGCTCGGGAGATGGTCACGCCTGGAGCTCGGGAGATGACCACGCCTGGAGCTCAGGAGATGGTCACGCCTGGAGCTCAGGAGATAATCACGCCTGGAGCTCGGGAGATGGTCACGCCTGGAGCTCAGGAGATGGTCACGCCTGGAGCTCAGGGAGATAGGTCACGCCTGGAGCTCAGGAGATGGTCACGCCTGGAGCTCGGGAGATGGTCACGCCTGGAGCTCAGGGAGATGACTCACGCCTGGAGCTCAGGAGATGGTCACGCCTGGAGCTTGGGAGATAATCACGCCTGGAGCTCAGCCTTCTTTTGACATGACAGCTGTCTATCCTCCCCAAAATTGTTCTAAATCTCAGCGAGCGGCCGGGTACAAGGGAAAATTTATATGATACTTACATAGAAAGTTTACATCAAAAACATAATACCGACTTACATCCACATTTATAATTTACCGTATCAAACTCGTGCACCAGGATTCATCTTTGGTATGCACTAAGCCCAGTTGCCGTGCTGGTGCGGAAAGCCACCATCCAAGATGAAGACGCCTTCGCTTTATGATCTCCCCAATTTGGGCGAGTTTCATTGGTGCAAGCCCCTCCTCAGCCGCTTAAAGGTCTTCAAAACTTCATAACGCCTCCGTGGATGGCGACACGCCGTCTGCGTCATGCCCACATTCATATCGGATTATTGTCCCTCCGGACATATCTGGCGATATATTTTGAGGAACGCCTCGCCCACATGAGATGGATACCGCGGGCGTTCAGTCCATTCCACATTCGAACATCGATTTCCGGCCCATCGATAAGGTTCGTACCATGCAGGCGCGGCCGCAGGGCCCCGTCGCCGGTGCGGGCCGCCGCGTCTAATGTATTCTCTCAGCGGCCGCCCCGGCCCGTCGAGAATTGGAATTTTCCGCTTGCAGCGAAGCGTTGCAGATGAAAATGCCCAGCCGATAGGCTGCATGCGCTTCCCATGAGATATGCAGATTTCGGGCTTAATTCCAGGCGCCATTGATCACGGGCGGGGCGGCGCGGGGCGGCCGGCACGCGCTCTGCGCCGGTCCCGCCGGATCCACCCGAGCTCAGCCCGCCACGCGCGACGCTCAGCGCGACCGGTCGTCAGCCAGGCCAGTCAGCTGGAGTCGCCCGGTTTGGAGGGATAAAGTCTCAAAATTGAGAATCAGATATACTACTACGATAACTTTGAAAGGTGAGAAGAAATTTCGCTGATGAGCATTACTAAGTCGTTCGGCTTCGAACCTTCCCGATTTGGTGCAGATGGTGCGGCCCATGCATGATGATCGCCCGTTCATTTGTCGAGTCAAATTGCCTTTGAAGTCAGCACTGCGAATCACTTTATAATTGCACTTTTTCACTAATTCGATGGCGGCGGGATTGGTTAGCACTGCTAAGAGATAGCAAATCGGGTAAATTTAACCGCTGGATACCGAATAAGTATTTCAAGAGGCCCCGAAAGGCCCGAAGGGCTAACCGTAGATCACATTAAGGACGGCTGCTGCCCGTAGGCCCGTGACCCTAAATGTCAGTCAAAGAGCCTCTTGCATCGACTGGGAACCTCAGGGTCAGTGCGGGTGTCTATTGTGGCCAGGGGTCACCAACAACTAACAGTCAACTCCCTGTCCGTCTGAGCCCATAGAGTCCATTTCTCAAGCACGAGCATGGCCGGGCCTGCGATTTACATTGGTTAAGCACGGTACGCTTTTTCAAAGGCACGTTTCGCATGTGCATCATCCTTTTCGTCCACCTGTTGGTCACCGCAAGGTCAAATATGCCACTGAACTCACTGAGCCGACCGTTACATACCATCATGACCTAAACGGACCTAAAACAGCATTGGCCCTGTTCGGAAACATTACCCCAGCATCTCGTAAATATCAAGTTATAAATGCTTTTTGACAAAGCGTATTAACATTCAAGGCAACATAAATCCGCGCAAGTTGCTTAAATATGCAAATTTCTCACGTTATGTCAAATATGAGACCAATGAAAAGGCTGGAATCATAGGGAAAAGATTGGAAAGCTCTCATCAAAGCGCAATAGGTATATGTGACTTAATAATGGTGAGTGTCGCCTTTGATGGGTCTAGTCAGGTCATAAGGGTCAATGAGCACCTTATATATCCCTCATACTATCTGAAGAACTCGGGAGGTCACGACATTGCGTAAGCGTGTTTGAATTGATTTGGAAAAAACCGTATCAGATGATCCTTAACTGACATCGGCGCATCATGAGTACAGCACAATATCATTCCCATGTTACTTCAGGTCAGATCGAAGGGATGGAGGATATTGTGGCATTGGCTTATGTGGCTTCATCAAAAAATTAACTAAGCACATAAATGCAATGTTAGAAAAGATTCGCCTAGCCGCAGGATATGCATCATCATCGGCCAGCAAATCTGGGTCAAACGGGTTAAATTTGGCCACACTAAAAAAATATCAAAAGTTAATCTAGTATGCCCTGGGGTGGCCCGACCTTGCAAGATTCACCTGAACGGTAAACATTTACAGATTCACAGACGTTCTGTACATTTACAGTACAGAACGTTATGCATATTACAAAAACCTATATAACTTTACTGAAATTCACATTTTACGAAAAATAAGCGTCTTAAGTAGTTTTTCTTAGTAAAATAGCACAAACATGACCTCGGCAATGCGATTACAGACCATGAACTGTCAAGGTCATAAGCTCCAAATTTTCACAATGTGCGTAAAAATGATGTCAATTTAGCCACCCGCAAAATTTCAGCAGCATGCTCAAAACCTTTTGTAAGTTTTTTCGGCAAGAGGGCAAGAGGAACCATGATACGCTTCCTCGAGCCGCAGTAGAAACCTGATCAACTGTGCCAGCCTAAGGCCGTTTATCACACGGCCCGACATATAAATTATCTTCCAAATGACACCTTGAAAAGGTTATATGTTAGAACGCTTGAAGCACCCGGCTAATGCGACGCATTTCTTCGTGTGCTACTGAGTGTACTTAAAGCCAACCCCTCTTCCCTTGACCCTTGTTGCCCTTACTGATACCCTTGCTGTGCACCTTTCTTTTCACTCTCTCTCCTCGCTGTTCCTTTCTCGCTCTTTGGGAGCCTGAATTTCTTCCCTTGTTTCGCGCCCCTAGGCTAACCACCTCCAATTCCACCCACTCTTTTCTCTTATTTTTCTTCACTGCCGTTGTCTCGGCGGGCGAACCATCCTTTCCACTTAGACGCGGGGCTATCGGTGCGCGAGTTTGCCGGCGCGTAAACCCAGGCCGCGGGCGGCCGCCGTGTACCGGCGTGCCCCGGGGGAGCTGCGGCAAACCTGGCGCGGCCGTCCAGTTCGGGACGCCTCGCAGCATCTCTGCCCACCGCGCCCATAGTTTGGCACCGTGATGAATGGTGTGTTCATAAGCATCCGCGGAATATACGGCACGGCGTGTGGATTTGGCGGCGGCGGCTGGCGATGCGCGGATGGAGGGGAGGAGATGGGGGGGGGGGGGAGGGAGGGGCGGTCAGTGATGCATGTCCTGGTCGACGAGGTGGAGCCGTCGTTCCCAGTCCGGAGACCTCAGATACAGCGCCCTTGCGCTCCGGCCTCGGAACCAGCGTTATCGCCAGCCGTGGGTGAGAAATCGGCCACATATGTCAGCGCTGTTGAATGTTTGGCCGGGACATGCACGGGGTCGGTGAAGCGGCATTTAATGGCGCGCCTCGCCATTCGCAGGCGGCAAGAGTCGCCTATTCCAGCAGAGAACATAAAGCCGATCATAGATTCAGTTCGGCAGCGTGACTCGGATGGCTATTGTCTATGGTGAGTACCAGGGCAGCCCCATGGCCTCGGGCCGGGCCGGTTGGCTATTGTCTATGGTGAGTACCAGGGCAGCCCCATGGCCTCGGGCCGGGCCGGTTGGCTATTGTCTATGGTGAGTACCAGGGCAGCCCCATGGCGTCGGGGCGGGCCGGGTGGCTATTGTCTATGGTGAGTACCAGGGCAGCCCCATGGCATCGGAGCGGGCCGAGTGGATATTGTCTGTGGTGAGTACCAGGGCAGCCCCATGGCGTCGGGGCGGGCCGGGTGGATATTGTCTATGGTGAGTACCAGGGCAGCCCCATGGCGTCGGGGCGGGCCGGGTGGATATTGTCTGTGGTGAGTACCAGGGCAGCCCCATGGCGTCGGGGACGGGCCGGGTGAAATGAGCCACCGTAAGGTCCAGTTCAAGAAGACCGCAAGGCTCTTGAGCCTCCCCGGCGACACAGTTGCACCTACACCGAGGGTTTTGGATAGTGTTGGAAGTAAATATGAAGTCAAGTCCGTTCTCAGGTTATCCCTTACCAGTTATCAGCAAAAACTAGGTACAAAACTCGATGAACACCCCTTCTCAAGTAACAAACTTTGCTTGTACGAAACAAAGCTTTGTCACACATCACCGTGCGTGCGTGCGTGTGTACGTCCCTGCGTACGTGCATGCGTGCGCGCGTGTGTGTGTGTGTTTGTGCACGCGTGCTTGCGTGCATGCGTGCGTGCGTGCGTGCGTGCGTGTATGTGTGTGTGTGTTTGTGTGTGTATGTGTGTGTGTATGTGTGTGTGTGTGTGTGTGTGTGTGTGTGTGTGTGTGTGTGTGTGTGTGTGGTGTGTGTGTGTGTGTGTGCGTGTGTGTGTGTGTGTGTGTGTGTGTGTGTGTGTGTGTGTGTGTGTGTGTGTGTGTGTGTGTGTGTGTGTGTGTGTGTGTGTGTGTGTGTGTGTGTGTGTGTGTGTGTGTGTGTGTGTGTGTGTGTGTGTGTGTGTGTGTGTGTGTGTGTGTGTGTGTGTGTGTGTGTGTGTGTGTGTGTGTGTGCCACCCACGCAGCCAGGCTTGCCACATTCCCTAGCATGCGTGAGGATCGCCATCGCCATCGCCATCACTGCTCGACGGACTGACCTACGACGGTGACCTCGGTGGAGCCGGAGGCGGTCTTGCCACCGGCGCCCCAGGCAGTACAGGAGTAGGCGCCGGCATCAGCGCGGGTCACGTGGTCGAACACCAAGCTGTCATCCGCGGCCAGCCGGAGGTGGCCCGGCAGCTGGCCACGGCCCTCTGTCAGATGAGGTGCCGCAGGTCAAGGGGAGGTTACACTGTGGGACCGGTCAATGCTGTCAGAGAACACACGCACACTAAACGCTTGTACAGACGCGGGCAGACCTGGAGCGTCTGAATTACATCCATTGTCGGAGTTCTAGGATATTTTGGACACCGTTGGACGTAAATCTCGAAACGCTTCATTTTCATGTTGCCTTGTTCATGCAATGCATTTGCGCACCAAGACGCACTTGCCACGTCACCCATCTGGAGCTGCGAGCATGGACGTCCATCTAGTCTTAGTTCAGAAGTTTTGCGTATTTGTGCGTTTAGATATCAAACAAATCGTTCATAGTTGCGAGCCTCAGCTATTGCGCCACAATCGAAGAAGCATGAGCAGTCAGCAAAATGTGGTTCCTCGGTGACCGTTCTGACGCTCTCGGCTGGCTGGTAGGGTGCTCCCACGAAAGCTGGTGGTGTTTAGTGTCTTCTAGTGATCTAGTGTTTAGTGGATCCTGTGAGCACGGCTCCATCTATCAGGCGTCGCTGAAAGACACGAACCTCCCACGTGTGTCGAAGACGCAAATCTCTTCATTTAGGACCCGGTGAGACAGAAGCCTCGCCGTTCGTATCCCGGTGAGACATTTACGTCTCCATCTGCCGTTTCAGAGAGCCATAGCCCTCGGCGAAGCGCCGCTGACGCGCCGGATCCATTGGTGGGTGTAAGTACCCATCCCGGGGGCCCAGACCGGTTTAATAATCGCAACAGCCTGCGAGCGACGGTACCCGGCGGCCGTAACGGCCTGCCATCGCGAGCACGTGTGCCGCCATGAGCGACGACCCTGGGACGATCATCTAATCGCCGCTGTACCTGAGCCGGGTGCCAACAGCGCGCCAGATCTCGCACAGGCTCTTCCCTGACCTTCTCGGAGAACTTCCTCGGGGTAAATGGAACACTTTTATTTACACAACAAGAAGTACATAAGCAGAAGTACGCTCGTTCGCGACAGGCAAAATATGTTATTTATAACAAACAACGCAAACATTGCAAAGCGTTTGCTGATATATTGCAGTTAAAATTGCAATGAACTAATGAAAAAAGATACTGCAACCACACACCAGCCAGAAGAAACTCAGAAGCGAGTGTCAGTAAACTGAGTCAACACTGATCGGTTGCTCCAATAAATAGCTGCAGCTGGTAAACCACAGCTGAAACTGCGATGAACAGTTGAAGCCACGGATACTGCAGTACCACACCAGTCAGAAGAAGCTATCACAATTGAGTCGCAGTGAACTGGATCAGCACCGATCGGTTTCTCTCATAAACATGTTTTATGGGCGGCACAGTTGCATCGTTTTTCGACGACCGTCCGTGGCGCAGCTGTGCCTCGACATTTTTGGCGCGGAGCGAAAATTAACGCGCGCCATTCCACTGTTGCCACAATTTTTCGTCGTCGGTTGAGGATACCATATTGGAGCTCCCCGTAAATGCACGAAGACTACGCTAACAATTGCTAAAGGCTGAAATGTAAAAATGCATGGTGATCGTGTGATGGCCATGGCTTTCTGGCAGGCTGCAAATACAACAAAATATGCTTGCAGTTTACCATAACCACCAAGGTCATGTAGATCAGCGATGTAATATGCGTGTATCACTTAAGCGTCATAAAGAATAGATAAGGCCTTCATCTCTTTCAGAGGCATCGCAATCACCCCAAAAATGCATCGGCACCTTTGTTAACTTGGGATTATATTCCCCAAATGTTGCTAAAAATACGTGAAGCACAGCAAAAAGCGTCCAAGATGATGTGGTCATCTGCCCCTGCCACAAATCAACATTGCGAGGCTCCAATCCCGCCACTGGGGCATGTAATCGACTGGATCGAAATGGTCACAGTCGAGGCAGTGAAACGGATCTGCATGAATAACGGCGGAATTTATGTGCAGGGCTTTGTTTCTCTTCGAGGGTTTATACCTGCCCAATGCTTAACTGACCGTATATTTAAGTGTTCCTCGTCCGTGGGAAGAGGCGTCAAGGAGCTGCGGAAGTGATTCACCATCGCACACTTCCAGTTGCGTATCACGTGGCAGGCATGGCATATCTGCAACTTGTTTTCTAAAGGGACACGAAGCCATAGACTTGCTTCAAATGGCGAGGAATACCAGCTAACACGTTTGCGGGAATTGCAGTCGAACACAACCTCAAAAGCGACTTTTGTAGCCGTTAGTAGTCGACGCATGTCGTACAATGTCCTTAGCTTTCATATCATTATCTTAACACGCGCCCAGGTGGCCGGCTGGATACCCTTCGCTCGGGTGGGGGTCAATTTCACCCCCCCCCCCCCGCATGAGGTCTCAGGAACCAAGACAGCTAGAGACATCAAATTCATAGGATGTGTTGACCTGTTTGTGAACTCACTGAGGTTTCTTTGAAGTTTGAGTTTGTTTGAGATCCCTAGGTCATGGCTTCGGGTCGAATACGGTTAAACAGGGCTCAATTCCCGGTTGGTCTTCAAAGGGCCCCTGGAACCTAGATGTCTGTTCTTAACAAAAAAATAACGTGCTCAGTTAAGGTCAGTGACCTCGTTTAACGTTTGTAAGGTCATAGTGGCCAAAATCATGCAAGACCACTTTGAATTCTCCATTTGAGTGGGTGACAAAGATTACGATAGGCAGAATGGTTCTAAAAACAAAACGTTGACCTGGGTCATTTTAGTCAGTGACCTTTTCTGACCTCAAAGAAGTGCATCGAAGGTGTATAATGCGGTTCCTGTTATAAATGCGCACCAAAAACTACCGCATGCAGCAAGCCCTAGAGTAACGCAGCAGGTGGGTTTTGACTCTGGTCTGACCCTCATACCTGACCCTAGGTCAATTCAATTTGTTCATTCACTTGTTGTGTTGCCCAAGAAAGTATCTCAGAGATGTTGGGCTCCGTCTAATACTCCGTTGTTGGATCAGATTGAACGAATCCCTTGAAATTGCCTTCGCAGAAACCATGGCCTGACTAACCTGCCATAGATCAGCGACCTTGCAAGGTACATCTAAGTTTCGGATGTCAGACAATCCGATATTCAATTTTCTATAGCTATGCAGAGTTTGGCGCGGCTACACTACGCCGTTCGGAAACCATGCCGGAAAACCTTCGGGGGGTCAATTTGACGCCCACCCGAGCCCGTGTTAACCATGGCAGGATAAGGACATCTTTACGACACACTAAGACTGTACAGAGCGGATGATTATTTTTAAAGTTATTATATGTATAGCTATCTACACATTTGCTGCTGCAAACAAGTTTGCAGGTTTAAGCCACATATTGTGTTGCGAATTATTAAAGTTGATACCAAATAGTTCCAGCTCATCGCTGCAGTCTCGTTTCGTTTCATAAAACCAGTTTGCTCGCAAGTCATTGTGCCAAAACAACATTAACGGGACCTAACTTCAATTACTCACCTCATTTGGACCAATTCGGCTGATACTGAGATCTTTTAAAACTTGATGTACGGTTATTTGGCTTTTATTTAATGATGGCAGGACAGCGCACCGGATCCGCTTAAAAACTCTAGCAACAATGATTCAAGAAAACTAGGATACAACTCATTTTCAGCACAGTGGTTATGGGACACGTGGTGGGTGGCCGCATCATGAGAAAAGGGCCCAAGGTGGGCACGAACGACAAATTCATTGCCAAGCCAGCAGTATGGTCCTGGTCGTTCTTATCTTCACGACGAACTTCCATTCTTTCAAAAGTTGTGCGTGCAGAATTTGACAAGGTTAGATACATAGTGGGTTTACTATAGAGCACAGCACGTTTTGCTCCAGCCCGAAGGTTCTCGCACACTAACACAGTCTTTAGATAACGCCTACGTTGCAAATGTCTGCTCATTGGACCAGCCACATCCATTACAAAAAAGAATACCCAAACTTATCGCAGACGGTAAAAGAGCCAAGTCAAATCAAAGTCAAAAGCAAGTCAAAATCAAGTCAAAAGAGTCAAATCAAGTCAAAATCAAGTCAAAAGAGTCAAATCAAGTCAAATTCATCTAAGTCATCAAACAGCCCACTCTGTGACCTTATCCTAGCTGCCATCCATTAGCCACACATAACAGCTCCGCCATATTCGCTGGACCCGCCGGCCGGGTGACTCGCCCTTGGTCGAGTGGCGCGCTATTGCAACAGCCAGCCGCCGGCTGGATTACGTGCAGCTACTAGACTCGTCCTCGTCCATGCCCAGACAGTTTGTAAACAGATCTCACCACATGCTATCTGTTCCGCTGGAACCTAAGCTACATATAATTTTCGTAACGTGATTCAATACTTCTTTTAACAAGTCATCCTAAGCGTCTCATCGGCCGTCTGTCGCATCACATAGTTCCGGGTTTGCAAGGCGATCTCGCTCTTTATAATTGGTTTAGCCGCCCATCGTACGATGTCATACACGCTTCTCATTGATTAATAATCACACTACTTCAGTGGCGCGTGACTGATTGGAGCTGGTATATCAGACCAGTCGTTTGTTACCATGTATGCTCATATGGCCATAGACTGAAAGACGCGAGCGTTCTGTTGGTTGGGCACGTAGACATTGTGGTGTGGCGTGATCGTTGGTGGGCGTGAGGTACTGACCAATAAAAGCTCTAGAAAGGCAAGATCTATCTTTGTGTGACTCGTGAGAAGGACTGGTATGAGCGAGGTCGCCAGTAATCTATTATTTATTACTGCTACGATCACTGCCACGCTATTCTCACGCAAACTGTTAGAAATCTGCAGTGACAGCTAGTCATTTGCACCAACCCGAGAAGAATGTCGGGTAAGACAATAAGACAATTTGTTCCTTGCTAACATGGACGCAACGAGCCTGCTCATATCACTTTATTGATGAAAATAGCCGCGCACTTCTTTGTGAATGGATTAAATAAAGATTGTAGTGTAACGCACAAGTCAGATTACAATTTACTTTAGAGAAATGGGTTATCCATGTGGGATGTAACACGTGGCACGCACCATTACAATACCGT